ATTTAATGAAACCCTGTCTCAAAATAAACAATAAAAGGTTAGAGATATAGCTCAATGTGAAGGTCCTGGGTTCAATCTCCAGTATCACCAAAAAACAAAACAAAACAAAAAGGGTATGTCATTTCTGATTTTCTGCCTGGTGTGCCTGGTGTATTTGTCCATTTCTTTTTGAGAGGTGTTACATATTCAACTATAATAGTTAATGGTTTCATCTGTTTCTCTTTGCAGCTTTAGCAGTTTGTGTATGTGTGGTTTTTGTTTGTTGTTGTTTGTTTGTTTTGTTTTTGTGGAACTAGAGATTGAACCCAGGGCTGTGTCTTAGAGAATTGACTCCTTTATCATGATATAATGGGCTTCTTTATCCTAATTACTTTCCTTGCTCTGAGGTCTACTCTGGAATTAATGAGTACTTCCACTTTATTTAAGGAGTGTTGGTGTAGTATATATTTTTTCACTTTGTAAAAAAATCTACTCTGATTATATCTGTTTATTTGGTACATTTAGACCATTGATATTTAATGTCAGTAGCTAGGTTAATATCTACTGTATTTGTTGTTTTCTGTTTCTTGTCTTTGTTCTTATTTTGTCCTCAATTCTTTTTGTCCCTATTTTGAGCATTTCACAATTTTATTTTTCTCCTTCTTAGTATATTAGGTGTTATCCTTTTAGGAATTTTTGCTTTTTAAAAAAAATGATATATCTAGGTTTAGGTTTTTTGGCATTTATTCTATTTAGCATTTTTTGAGCTTCCTGGATTTGCTCTTCAGTGTGATAATAATTTGGAGGAAATTCCATCATAATTGTTTCGAGTTTTTCTCTTGTTCCTCGCTTTCCTCCTCTTCTAGCATTCCCATTGCATGTAAGTTATACCTTTTGTTGCTTTATCCACTGTTCTTGGATATTCTGTTTGGGTTTTTGTTTGTTTGGTTAGTTGTTCTTCAGTCTTTTTCTCTCTTTGCTTTTCAGTTTTAGAGGTTTCCATTGAGACATACTTAGACATTCTTCCCTTAGCTGTGTACAGTCTATGATAAGGTCATCAAAGGCATTCTTCATTTCTGTTGCAGTGGGTTTGTTCTCTAGCTTTTGTTTTTCCTTTGTTTTGTTGTTTTTATGAGGCAAGGTCTTTCTGAATAGCCCAGGCTGGCCTTGCATTCATGATTCTTTTTTTTTTTTTTTTTTGGTACCAGGGATCGAACTTGGGTCCTTGTGCTTGTGCAGCAGGCGGTGAAACCACTGAGCTAAATCCCCGGCCCCACATTCATGATTCTTCTGCCTTAGTTTCCTAAGTGTTGGAATTACAGGCATGTGCCAGCATACTGTAGTTTACCATTTCTTTTAATTTCTTCTTAGACTTGCCATCTCTGTCTTTACATTGTGCCTCTGTGCTTTCTTGAGGGGGCTGGAATTGGATATTTCTCTTAAGTTAGAACCAGATATTACTGTAGTAGGTTAGGCTCTAGTTAAACAGATTTTAAAAATGATTCCTTTTGCCCCCTCTGCAGAAGCATGGGGAATTTTTCTTTTTATATTCATTATAAGGCAGTGGTAGAGCTGCTGAGGTAAAATTCACAAAGTTATTTTCCCTCTCCATCCTCCCTAGCCCCCTGTACCTGGGTCCCCTTGAAGTTTGTATGATCTGTATGCACTGAGCTCTGGTAATTGCCCATCATGTTCTATGTTTTTCTACCCACATGGTTACATAGAGGTTTTAGCTTCTGGGCTACTGCTGCAGTAAATTGTGATTCTCTGTTTATATCTGGCTGGCTAGCAGTCCAGTTTGGGAGTCATTGGCTTGCTCCTATGACCTTACCTCTCAGAGATTTTAAAAAACAATTTGTTCAGCTTTTTATTTGCTGGGACGGAATGGTGTCTTTTTGTTTTTTGTTGTTTTTTTTGTACTGGGGATGGAACTCAGGACCTTGAGAGGCAGTCAGGGACTATGCCACTGAGCTAAATCCCCGGCCCTGACAGAATGGTGACTTTGAGTTTTTTACATGCCAGACTAGAAGCCAGAAGTCTAATTTTTAGTTTAAAACTAGAAAAAAATAAAACTAGAGCATAATTCAGATTCTAATTTTTTGTTTTTGCTTTCATTTTGGTACAGGGGATCGAACTCGGGTCCTTGTGCTTGAGCAGCAGGTGGCGAAACCACTGAGCTAAATCCCCAGCCCTCAGATTCTAGTTTTATAGGAAGAATGAGGGAAAGAGTTAATAAGCCAGAAAACTTCATATCAAGTAAAAAACAAGTTATCTTTTCCAAAAATAGTAAAATGTGGGTGTTTCTAAGCAGTACAGAGTTCCAACAGCTCATGTCCGGAGTGTGGATATGAGTGTGCTGCCTGAGCATGTGTATAAAGATAGGCAATCTAGCTCTAATCCTTCTGTGGTTTTGTTTGTTTGTTTCCTCACCCATTTGAAATTTGAAAACTAAACTCTGAAATGCTGGGCTGAAAGGTAGAAGGAAAAAGTAGTTTGGGGCTTCTTTCCATTGCAATGGAGTATTCAAGTCCAGTAAGAACCAAAGTGCCTATTAGAGTGTGGATTTGTTTTGAGTTGGCACGCACTACTGTTTCAGTACTGTACAAAAGGCTGCCATGGCATCTGTAGTCTTAGTTTCTGAAGGGGCTGGAAATGTATGATGTTTTTCACCAAAGACATCACTCTGCTTGTACTTTTATTGCTTTCGTTTATAGTCTTGCTATGTTATGTCTGAAGTGGTATGTGAAGTTAATGAAGCTAGTGTAACTGGGAAGGTCAATTTTATCCTGCTGATTTGTTTTTCAGTTAAAGGTTAAAGGATATTGCTCAAGGTTGTTTATCTATAGAAATTTTTTTCTTGGTATTGATTCCAAAGGTAATGATTTGATATGGTGCTTGGAGAAATTTTTAAAATACCAAAACAGTTATGCAAATGTGCTGTTGTACCTACAAAGCTGACACTACTGACTCCGAAACCATGCATCAGTGGGGTACATTACTGAAGGTATTTTCCTAACAGAGGAAAAGGGGTCTGCAGTGAACTTTCCACTTTCTCTTTACTGTTTCTCATAATGGCCAGACCATCTGAAAGCCTTTGATATTGTGACATTGAGGTAAACTTCTTTGTCTCAGGACTGTACTGTCTAAAGTATTAACAATTTAGTTTGTGTAACTAACTGTATCCATATTTATTTAAAAAAACCTGATGTGCAGTAAGATAATTACTGGTAAGGGAACTGCTAGTGATCTCAAATGTGCCTGAAGTAGATCTGTTTCTTCATTGTCATAGTAATGATAGTGAACAGCACAAAGGCTAAATAAAATCTTTAAACAGAAATTAAAGCCGGGCTGAGAGGTGCACACCTATAATACCAGCTACTATTGAGGCTGAGCCACAAGGATTGCAAGTTGCAGGCTAGCCTGGGCAAGACCCTGTCTCAAAAGCAAGATCCTGTCTCAAAATAAAATTTAATAACAGGGCTAGGAGCATAATTCATTGGAGTGCTTGCCTAACATGCATGAAGACCTGTGTTCAATCTCCAATACCAAAAATCACAAAAAAAGAAAAGAGATGCATGTGTGTTCTGCTTTCTAACTAAGCCCATCTTATGTAACTTAGAAGGCAAACCAGATCAGACCCATGGTGTATAAGTGACCAGTTTCAATCTCTTATAGTTCCCACTTATTGAAAGTGACCAGAAACATCTATTAACTCATTTATTCATTGATATCTGTTTCTGAGCATCCTGTTCACTGTCTTCACTGCCTTGTGTTTTAGTATTTTTAATATGGTAGATTCGTTAGTTCAGATTGATAATCAGATGACATTAATATTCCAGATTGAGGGCTGGGGATTTAGCTCAGTGGTGCCACCGCCTGCCTCGCAAGTGCAAGGTCACGAGTTCGATCCCCAGTACCAAAAAAAAAAAAAAATTCCAGATTGAGGAAAAGAGAGGTTATATATAACCTTAAAATAAAATGTTCATTAAGTCATGCTTTTAAGCTCCCCAAGGAAGTCCTGGTAATTATAATGCAGCTAATACTGTGGTTTTTTTAAAAAAAAACAAAAACATAAATACTTTTTTTTTTTGGTATCAGGGATCGAACTTAGGTCCTTGTGCTTGCGCAGCAGGCAGCGAAACCACTGAGTTAAATCCCCAGCCCCCATAAATACTCTTTTAAAAAATCATTAATGCTTTTTTCCTCCCCTGAGCTAGCTCATTATGAACTTCATACCCCTTCAGTTCTTTTTTATCCATAGCTTCTCTATAATATATTAATTGGAGTTAAATGAAGCACCTGTCATTTTTGTAGTAATTATTCTAATGAATTCATATATAAGCAGCAGCTGGTAAGGCTGTCATCTCTAATTAGTGATCTCTTTGGACCAAGAATTTCTGGCCAAGTCCAGTACTCAGTCTAGAAGTCTAAGCAATAAAAAAACTACTCTGAAATACTTATGTTGTGGTGAATTGGGCTTAGAGAACCATTTTTCCTTTCATTTTGGTTTGTTTCAAGTAGCTGACTCATTTCTTAAAAAGATATCCCACTGTGGTGGCACACATAGGCCTGTAATCCTAGCACTTGGGAGGCTGAGGCAGGAGAATTGCCATGAGTTCAAGGCCAGCCTGAACTACATAACAGGCCCCGTCTCAAAAAAAAAAAAAGATTATCTCGACATAATTTAAATTTCCCCTTAATTTGTTATAATCATTAATAAGAAATTTGAATTTTGTGTGCTTTCATTTCCTTTCTTTATTACTAAAATTGTGAATTAAGTATTAAATGATTTCAAAGAGGTAGGGATAAGGAGCTAGAGTCCTGGTTAATGTAAAATTAGATAAATACTCAAATACTCATGGGACTTGATGATTATCATTGATGATCAGCTGGTAGTGACTGATATGACTTCACTTTTTTTCTGTACAACAGCATGTTAGCAAGAGAAGCATAAGTATTTCTCAAGATGTAAGCACAAATACATTTATTTAAAGTCTAACTCATATCTTCTCTTCCTAAAGGTGCACTTACAGAGTGCTATGATGAACTGGGGAATAGATATCAGCTTCCAGTCTATTGCTTGGCACCACCAATCAACATGATAGAGGAAAAGAGTGACATAGAGACTCTGGATATTCCTGAGCCACCACCCAATTCTGGATATGAATCTCAGCTCCGTTTGCGCCTTTCTACAGGCAAAGACCTCAAACTTGTGGTACGCAGCACAGACACAGTGTTCCACATGAAGAGACGGTTACATGCAGCAGAAGGAGTGGAACCTAGTAGTCAGCGGTGGTTCTTCTCTGGCAGACCTCTCACTGACAAAATGAAGCTGGAGGAGCTGAAGATCCCAAAGGACTATGTTGTACAGGTGATAGTGAGCCAGCCTTTGCAGAACCCAACACCAGTTGAGAACTGAATTGGTCCTATTGGCTGGTTCCAACGTTGCTCTACTCCCTTTTTATTGTTGTCATTTCCTACTCTATGGGGTGAAATTTATTTTCACTGCTCTAAATTCCCTATGAATGGATTTAGTTCTGAGGAATTACCAGTGAAAAATTCCATCTGTGATGGAGACCAACAAAAATAATAAAACACAAAGAGCCAGCCTTTGAGACTCATGTAATTACAGTTTCTAATTTGAGGCAGTTAAGAAGTAGATAACCATGTATTTTAGAATACTCAACTACATAATAGCTGTATTTAAATGATTTGGAGTGTAAATGAAACATTGTACTCATGAAAAACAGTACAAAGCACCTTTTGGATACAGAGGTTTTTAAAAAATATATATTTCAAATTATATAATTTCCAGAAACAGTGACAGTTATAAAACTTCTTTTTTATGGAATCTGGAATGAGCAGTATTTGAGGTTTGCTTCTATTCTGGTTTTTTATTTACAGCTCATTTCTTATTTACTCCTAAAGAGTAAAGACTGGCAAATTGTGTTTTAGTGTCACTTTCCCCATCCTTACACATCGAGCTTATTTACAGTCACACTAAATTTTGGTGCCTTCCGCATGTTAGTGGCAGGCACCCGTCTGGAACACTAGGCAATAATTTACTCAATGCAGTCAGATTTCTGATTTTCAACTGATAGGCAGTTGAAAATGCTCTTGTCCTTTTGCTGCATAAATGTTTTGAAATGTATAGAGAAGCAGTTTTCATTATTCAGGCTTAGAAAGTCACCACTATATATATGCCTTTATTGATTTATCTACTCTGCTTGGACCTTTTCATAGCTAGCCAGGAAACACAGGAATCTAGGACAGCTGTTGCCACTACAAGATCACAAAATGATTCTCTTCTCTACTTTGCAGGAGTGGTATAAGGAAGACCATTCTTTCTGTGCCTGTGAGAACTGTGCCTATTTTCAGTTTTCTAGAGAAAATTTCAACTCAAAATTTATAAGTGTGAAAGGTTTACTGGTGTCACTTACTTATAGTCAGAGTGGGTGACAATTTTCCTCCCTCATCTTTCATAGCAAAGAGGCAGATTAAGGATCATCTGCACATTAGATTAGGGGATTAAAAATCTGGTGAGATAACCTGATTCTTCTATACTATGACTGGAGTGAAGCTGCCAGGGAGGGACTAGGTTTAATTTGGAGCCTCTTAAGGGTTGGGTCCATAAGTGAGAAGGGGGCTAACAGGACCACATTGTACCCCTGATAATTCAGGAGATTGAAAATAGAGGCAATAAGGCACTTAATGAATGCTATTTTCAGTTGGGAAATATCAGACTTCCACAACTATTTGGATATGAATCACCATTATTAATTTTAATGACAAAATGAAACTGCTAATTAGTTTAAATGTAACATTTAAAATGGTATTAAATTTCCAATAGCCTGATTAAATATATCTGTAACTGTAACTTATATTTCTAAGAGCTTTAACTACTTTCCTAATTTTATTCAATCATTTTAAAGATTATAGCTACATCTAATTTAGGTTTTCTGATTGATTGAATTGAAATTCAAGACAGTAGCATTAATTCCAAAGGAGAATTTTTATACTTAGAAGTGGAAATATGAAGGTATTTCAGTATGTTGCCCTGTCCTCAAAAAGTTTTGTTCAGGGCCAGGGATTTAGCTCAGTGGTTTCACCGCCTGCTGCACAGGCACAAGGACCCGAGTTTGATCCCCGGTACCAAAAAAAAAAAGTTTTATTCATTTGTGTGCCACATCGAATAGCAGTATCTCTCAAAGTTCATCAACTGGAAAAAAGTGATCAAAATATTTTTCTTCAAGAAATTTGATGATGTCATCAATAATACATGGTTTATAAAAGGTGTTGTTTGTTTGTTTGTTGAGAACTTGACCTCTCTTTCAGAGTTCATTTTATTTTAAAGGAACATGTACTCCCAACGATTCTCTGGGTATGTTTAACCGAGGTGACAAACCATGGTCCTGTTTAATTGTCAATAGACTGGTTTAAGATTGGACCAATACTTGATTGTATAATTTCAGTGTGTAGAGGTTTTTTTTTAAAATTTGATTTTTCTCTGTCTTTGCCTTTATTCTGAATTTTTTAACTTGCTCTCTATGTAAGGGTAATCTCCCTCTTTCTAATGAGAAGTATGACGGTTTTCATCCTTTCTAAAACCTCAGCTGAATAAATAACAAGATCTTTATTACCAAAACTTAGGCTCTTAGGCTCTGCTATGCCAAATCATCAATGGTCATTTATAGATACACTTTATCTTCTAAAATAGATTTATTTTTCCTCTTAAGAACCATGCTACAGACCAGCTTATAATTAAGTTTTTCTGAAGCACTAACCTCACTTATTATCTATTTTTGGGTTAAATGGCAAGTTTGGGTGAGAGGTTGTTGGTTTGAGATACTAGAGATTGAATCCAAGGCCTGTACTAGGAAAGTGCTCTATCTACTACTAAGTTCAGTCCCTGGCCCCTTTTTGTTTTGAGATAAGGTCTTGCTGGGGTACCCAGACTGGTCTTGAACTTCAATTTTCCTGCTTCAGCTTCTCTAGTACCTGGAATTACAAATGGGCACCCTGCCAGCTTTTGTTTTGTTAAGTTTTTATTTAAAATAAGTGATATATGCTCATGAGAAAAAAAAATCAAACATACCAAGGTGGAAAGAGTCTCCTATCCATTCCTGTCCCTCATCTCCTGTTTCTCCTCCCTAGAGGCAGCAAATGTTACTGCTTTGCTGGGTAGCTTTATTTTATTTACTTTACTTTACATTTTATTTTATATTTTACTGTGCAGTACTAGGGATTGAATCCAGGGCCTCAGGCACACTAAGTAAATGCCTTACCACTGAGCTACATCCCAGCCATCTGGTTAGCTTTATAGATACTTTAGGCCAGACACAGTAGTACAGGCTTTAATCCTACCTACTTAGGAGGCTGGGACAGAAGGATCAAAAGTTTGTGGCTACCTTGGGCTGCTTAAGTCAAGACCTTGTTTCAAAAAAGGGCTCAGCCAAGAGCATTTGTTTAGCATGTGTGAAGCCCTGGGTTCAATTCCCAGTATAGGAAAAAAAAAGCACAGTGGTTCTCAAAACTTGCACGTGTCAGCCTCCCAACTTGATTAGGATTCTAGGTGTGTGGCACCATGCCCAGCCTGACCAGTTTTTTGATCTGTGGCAATCAGGTAAGTGAGAAACTTTGTCCTGTGGTTTTACTTTGTTTTTCTTACAAGTAAAGTTTGGCATTTTCCTGTGTATTTTAAAGCTATTTGTATTTTTTCTTTCTGTGGATTGTCTGATTCCATATTCCTAATGCATTTTGGTGTTTCTCTTTCTGTAGTCCTTTTCTGTCAATGTCATTGCTCTGGATGTGTGTGTGTGTGTATGTAATTTGTTGTGCACAAATTTGAAGTTTTTCATAGTCAGATCTACCAGTGTCCTATGGCTTTTGTATTCTGCCAGAAATTGTCCCCATTCTGAGATTATACAAACCTTTCATATTTTTATTATTTCTTTTATGGTTTCAGTGTTACATAGAGCTTATTTGTGTGAAAGGAGTAGAATAACAGTCCAGATTTGTTTTTTCCAAGATAGCTGCCCCACTTTTCCTGATATTACTTACTGAAATCATTTTCACCCATCTTTTCCCCATTCATATGAGGCGGGAGGAAGCCCTTATTTTTATGAGGGTTTTTTTTTGTTGTGTTTTTGGTACCGGGGATCAAACTTGGGTCCTTGCGCCTGCAGAGCAGGCGGCGAAACCACTGAACTAAATCCCCAGCCCTTTATGACAGTTTTTAAGATAATATACTTTTTAAATGGTCTTTTCTTGTTCATTGGACAAATTGGCAGATATACCTTGTGTCTACTTCTGGCTGTCTAATACTGTGACTTAATGTTTTTACTGATGGAGAAGGGAAAGCAAGAAGAGCACAGCTGATAATCTCCCTCACTACAGCCAGTCCTGTGATTTCGGTTGGAGTCTCTGTGATATGGCCTCTTTAACCTGTCATTCCTCTGGTTCTGTAAATGCCTCTCAGGTGGGTGACTGTTCATCTCTGAAGAAGTCACCAAGGTTGATTTGGTCTTTTCTAGTCTTTGTCATATAAGCCTTTGGATGATGAGAAAATGTGAAAGCTAAGCAGTGGTGGAAAAAATTGCTTTACTTAGCTCCCACCAAAATTCCTTCCTTGTTATAGCTGATACTGACTGTGGAGAAATCTGCCATAGCCCTGGGCTGAAACCATAGCTGAGTAAGCATCTCTCCCATCAGGCCTGCTCTTCACATTCCCTTGCACATGCTGCCCCTCTCCCCATTGCCTGCACCCCAGAACACGTATGTGACCAAGAAAGTTCAGTGCAACAATGAAAACTCAGTAGAGTAGCTCAAACTGGAAGCTACACACCCTCTGGATTTGTGTGTGCACGCACACTGAGGATAGAGCCCAGGGCCTCAGCGTGCTGAGCACTCTTTATTGTTGAGCAACGTCTCCAGCCCTTTTGTATAGATGTAAACATTTTTAAGGTCATATAATGTAAATGAGGGGGGAAAGCCCTGAAATGGACATTGATAGGTTGCTTTCTTTGCATTCCTAGTCCCAAAGAAGTGTCACTTCACTGGTGTGTTTGAATTTTAGTTTTTATACTGCAGTTTGGGCCCAACAGAGATAAATGCTGCCAGACACTATTTTAGAAAAACACCCATTTTATGAAGTAAGGGGTTTTGGGGTTTTTTTTTGGGGGGGGGTCTTTTGTTTTTTGAGATAAGGACTCACTATGTAGTCTGGGCTAGCCTCTCTCTACGAAGTCCAGATTGGTCTTGAACTTGCAGTCTTCCTGCCTCAGCCTCTTGAGAGCTATGAAGATGCTTTTAAAAGGAATTGTTTTAAAAATCAGGTAGCTAGTTCATGACACCTATTATAGTCCCCCTGATTTCCAGAGGAGAGAGGAAAAATTACAATATCTAGTATACAATTTACTATCTTTGGCTCTCCCTTCCTCCCTGCTGTCATTCTGAAACAGTGAAGGATATAGCTTTTCCATTTATATATCTCAGGACCCTTTCTGGACCATGGAAGAGAACAGCTTTCTCATTGTAGTTTCTATTCCCAGAACTACGCCTAGATCATAAGTTGTCTGGTGATAAAAGCCAACTAGGCTGCCACAAAAAGCAGCAGAAGCTTACAGTAAGATGAGCTCAGCGGTGAGACACTTTGGACCTAGGACTAGCTGTTGTTTTCTGGCCAGATAGTACCAGTCTCTCAATATTCTGTAGGTTGAGTAGTGCCCGTGTGTTTTTCAGAGGGTACAGTTCTCCTTGGAGCACAACGGCAAACCGTTCAACCCAGAAAAAGGGAAAAACACTATTGAATCTTTTGGGATTCACAAGAATTTCATGAGAGAAATAACCATTTGTTATATCTATGTGGAAAGCAAATCTGAGGTCAAGTCCCTCAGGTTGGTGAGGGTTTTTTTGCTCATTTCAATCAGTTTTTGTGGTGCCATTGTGAGGAAGAAAAGTTTGGCTGCCAGTCACATTAGTCATGCTTTAAGCATATTATCATATAGAGTAAATATGGAGAGGTATGCACAGTAATAAATACAATTTCTATTACTATAAGTTTGACCTATGAATGACAATCTTAGATAAGCACTTTTATTTACTTACTTTTGCAGTACTGGGGACTGAGTCCAGGCCCTTGAATGCTAGGCAAAGTACTCCACCACTGACCTTAAGCCTCAGCCTTTTTTATTCTTATTGCTTTGAGACAAGGTCTTGCTAAGTTTACCAGGCTTACCTCCAGCTTGGAATTTTTCTGCCTCAGCCTCCCAAGTAGCTGAGGTTATAGATGGATGCCACCACACCAAGTGATGAACAGTGGTCTTTGTTGCATATGGACACAGTATAATTAAATTGGAGTTTTGACAATATTAGGTGCTCTGGAACTCATTGACTGTCTTAAGGTCAGTTACATTGTTACATTACATAATGTACCTATAAGAAGTCAATCTATAATAAATGACCTGTATTTCTGCAATTCCTAAAATTTGTTCCTCAGAAATTTATGGTAGATTTAGCAATTAATATTGAGCAGAATGACTTTCTGAGCAAATCAGTTGTCAGCTTAAAACTTAAACAGAACCTACTAAAACTCAAGTGAGTTAGAGCCTTGGCTGAAATCACAGGCATGCTTAATTGACCTTGAATTTGAATCCTGGCTCTGCCCCTTGTAAGCTGTATGTTCTAGGATAAGATTCTTAATCTCTCTAGGCCTCAATTTCCTCATCTGTAAATTGAGAACAACACCTAATTGACAGGGTTGATGATAAGCTATGCATCTAAATCACTGCCTGATAACAAACACATAATATATATAGTTGTCATTATTACATCACAATACAATCAGGTAGAGAGGAATCACAAATCTTGTGCCAAAATATTATTAAATTACTCAAGGTATTAATTATACAAGAATTAAAATTATCCAAGGGCATTTACTAATTATTTTACCATAGTAAGTTTGGTTCGGTTGCTTAATTGCCCAACTCATCAGAGAGTAATTCAGGCTCTAAGAAAAACACTGCCTTAGCTAGGTATGTGGTACACTCCTGTAGTACTAGTTACCTGGGAGACAGGCAGAAGGATCCCCTGAGCCCACAAGTTCAAGGCCAGCCTGGGCAATGTGATGTGGGACCCTGCCTCAGAAGAAAAAGAGAAACAGTATATATTTAAAAATCAACTTCCCTCATGGGTGTAAGCATGTCATCATTGTCAGTATGAAGTCTGGTATTTAAATGACCTTACCCTAAGAAATGAGGCACCAGAAAGGATTCTGAGTGTTGGATCACTGGTGACAAATATTAAGACAGCTTCACCTGCCTGGCACCAGTGAGTGTCGGCAATTATTTGGATGCCCCAGCACCCAGTGAGCAGGACTCATCTGAAAAGCAGCAGCAGAATTGGGTCCTGTCAACAAGAGCTGAGGGCAGAGCTCAGCAGGAGGGCCCTTGCCTGGCAAGCCTGAGACCTTTGGTTTCCTTCTCCACACTGCTAAAAAGAAAGAAAGCAGTTGCTTTACATTAGTGTGAGTTCTCTGTGACATCAATAGATTATTAAACTTAAGCTCCTGTTGACTAGAGAGAGCTCATTTGGACCCTTTGAATAAAAAAGTCAGTGTAAAGGTACCCACGTTGATGATCTTTATTTTTGAACATGTTAACAGTTTTATTCATAATGTTTATTAAAGAGATTACTTTTCAAAAATCTTTGGCACACACCAATTTGATATACTATTTTCTTGAGCTGAGATTTCAATCTCTTTCTCTTTTCCACTTTCTCTCTTTCCATTCTCTGCTTTTCCTTGGCTTTGTCATTGGCAAAGATAGTATATATCTTAAATTCCTTGTAATTAAGCTTTTATTGCAGGAGGAAAAAAAGAAAAATTACTTCAGGAAAGATTTGATATGTTATTATAGATGACAATGGGATTGTAACCCTTATTTAGCAACTTGGAAATGAGGCTGAGTATGTTCCTCAGGTGATCCATCATTCTCAACCTTAGCTCCCACAGGCTTCTCCAACACAGACTTCCCTTTTACACAGGTAGAATCCATTGTCTTCACCATAGCTTCCCTTAGGATTTTGCTCACATGGTCCTGACATGGAATTACTTCCTTTCTTCTTATTCAAATCTATAAACCCTCCCCCCCAGCATCGATTACTGCTATATCATTATATTTCCTTCTCTAAACTTCCATAATTGTGTGTCCACATTACATAATATAGCATTTAGCTAGTCTTTTCATACATCTCTCCAGATTTTCCCTGATCCTAGCTCCATGCAAATTATTTCTCACACCTTCCTCTTCTCCCATCTCTACCACGGGTAATAGAATATTGTCCTCTGCTTTTATTAAGAGACTGTGGGCCAGGGATTTAGCTCAGTGGTTCTGGCACCTGCCTCGAAGGTGCAAGGTCTGAGTTCGATCCCTGGTACCCCCCCAAAAAAGTCTGCCATGGTATATTTGGGATCTACACTTACATGGTCACCTGTGATGTTAAAGTTATGGAAGAACTCTCTGAGTTGCTCTCTTTTAATATTGAAGAGAAATCTGTACATATGGAAGTTGGTTGTACCAATTCTCTGTTCTCCATTTATGTCAAGCAGTCTAAAAACATGACGGGAATGGCAATACATAAATTGTTCTTCCAAATGATTCTGTTTTGAGAGAAATATTTAAGACAGGGATTAGTATTGGTGCTGCTTTCTCAACTTGTTATGTCAAGGCTTGTATGGTTACCAGCCCATTCTCTAGAGAGCTAAAATCACAAAAGCTCAGGGGTGAAAGGGTCCTGTCATCAATGGGTGGAACCCTGCTTGAGCAACTGCATTCAGAGGGAACTTAGGCCCTCTAGAGTAATAAGTTCTGCTAGACAGAACTCTTGTTGCCATAATGCATTTCCTCACATCCATAAAGATCTTGTGAAACATTGTTATAAAATTGGGACCACACGAGGTCTTTTCCTCCAGGAGTGGAAACATGTACATACACACAAAGCCTAGGTGTGGTAAGGAGAAATGCAAAGAAGGCATTTCTGATCTCCATCATTTATCCCCTTCAGAAAATTCTCTGAGCAAGAGGGTCACAGAGGGAGTCAGGCACTTGAAATGATGTGATTCTTTGCAGACCACCAAACAGCATGTGAGGAAGGGCAGGCCAGGAGCCAGTGTGGCCAGGCAGATCTGTTTTCCACAAGGAAAGCAACAAAAGGGTGAAGATAGGTGGGGGCTGCAGTGAGAAGAGGGAGGGTAGAGGTTGAAATTTCCCAACAGGATCCAAAATTAATCTCCCTCCCACTTTTTTTCCTCTTGTTTGTAGTGAAAGGAAAAACATTCCTACCCGAGTGCTGGCCTAGCATGATGGTGGCAGCAGCCAACCCTGCCTCCTGTGCCTCTGATCCTAACTTGGTACTTGCCTGGTGTGACAGCAGTATGCAAACCAACAAGTAGAACTCCTCAAAACCAATTTCACCCACAGCATTCCAGTCCAGCATGTCAAACACCATCCTGATCTGTCTGGACTTCAAGTTAGTCACGTAATGCAGGAAGTGATAGAACAGCACATCTGTGAAGGGGGGAGTCAGGAGATGGTTATTCAGGAGTAGTTCCAAGGTGCAGAACAGCTGGACACTGCATAAACGGTTGTACCGTTGGAAGCTTGTTGACCTGGGAAGAATAATGCTATTTGTTTCTGGTTTCCTCAATGAACCTTCCATGACTCCTTGAGACCTTAAGTGCTTTTCCTTAAGCTGTGTGGGAAAACATGGTCCCTGGAGCTATGCAGAATGAGACAGTGACCCCAGCTACCTGCCCCATGGAGCAGCAGGCATGACCGATGAGAGGCAGGTTGCTGACACAAAACGGCCTAATATACCTGGGGACAAAGAACACTTCCTTGGAGATGCTAATGTTTTACCAGGGCTTTCCCCTTGAGATAATTCAAAACAAGAAAAACTTAAACATCATTCCTCTTCTATAACAGTTCCCACATTCCTCATGCTTATATAAAGCAAATGTATTTGCCAATAAAGAAAGGAGCAAACCTTATTGACCACCTCATGTGTTAGGTCCTTTAAATGCCACATCTTATGAACCGTGAAAACCTTACTGGAAAGGTGGCATCATCCCCCTCAGTAGGCTCACGAGCCACATATTCAGTGGAGTTAAGAAATAGTTTCTAAGCTGGGTGTGGTATTGCACACCTGTAGTCCCAGCACTTGGGAAGATGAAGCAGGAGGATCACCATGAGTTCGAGGCCAGCCACAGCTACATAGTTCAAGACCAGCCAGAACTACATAGCAAGATCCTGTCTCAAAAAAGGCTCACCAACCATTTGGGCAGCTTGTCAAATTACAATTTCTGATTCAGAAAATCAGTGCATAATGATTACATTCATCAGGAGTTGGTACATGTACTTAACACATACATCTTAATTCTTTTTTCATCCCCTTCCCTCCCTTTTGCCAAAGATCTGTCTTGCAAGTCCACATTTCTACAAGCTCTTGAGTGATGTGGCTGCTGCCTCTAAGGTACTCAAAGATCATTTATAGAGTAGGTGGGAGAGTTGGTGTTCAAATGTGGGTAGGTCTGACTCCCCAGCCTCACTTTCCACAGGGAAGCCACATGTTTTCTACATTAGTTAATGCATATTCAATCATATACATTCAGGGGAAAATACGGTAAAGAATGGGGAAGGCTTTTACCTGCCAGTCCACTCACTAATCATTTGTCTCAGGATAGGGTGGAGGAAACAAATGGGCAGCTCATTTCTTTACTGGTGTGTGGCTGTCTATAGGTGTATGTTCACTGGGTATCTAGGGGTTTTCAGGGTAACTGTCTACAAGTGATTTCCCCTTGCCCAGTGGTTACAGAAACTATTTCTTTTTGTTTTTGTTTTTTTGACACAGGGTCTTGCTATATAGTTCAGGCTGGCCTTGAACTCACTATGTAGCTGAGGCTGGCCTCGAACTCATGGTGATACTCCTGCCTCAGCCTCCCGAGTGCTGGGACTACAGGCATGCGCCACTGCACCCAGCTTAGAAACTATTTCTATTTTTTTTAGAAACTATTTCTTGACTCCACTGAATATGTAAAACATCAATGCAATTTGGAGTCCCAACTGAAGCTAGTTTAGGGGACTTCTGATGGGCTCTTGATGTTACTTTGCCATACCCTACCAGGTTTGAGCACCTGGGGCCACCACACCACACACACAGTGCTGTGTGAGCAGTTGCTTCTAGAGAGATGTCTTATGGGGGACTTGGTAGCTACTTAATAAATGGTATTTTGAAACCAGCTGACCCTGACCCACCCAAATCTCCAAGGCCTGAAGTCACCCCACCCCCAAGGCAAACCTTAGGGCTGCACCTTCACTAGTTTCAGGTCACTCTCCTGTCCCTTGATGACCAGAAACATGAGCACGACTTTACCCCTAGGGTACTGCGTCATCAGGGAGCAATTTCGTTCCTAGGGAGATGGGACTCTTGAGCAAGCATTCCGGTGAGACTGAGAGCAGGGGCTTTGGAGCCAGTGCCCTGGGCACAAGCTCTGTGTTCTTAGAGCTCCATGTGCTGCAGCTGCCTAACCCGGGCCAGGCTGATGGGGAAGACGGGCAACACATGGGGCATGAAAAAACAGGTCTGAAATTGTGAGAAAAGGGTGTCCACTTTTGACTTTACTCTGTTAATGTGTGTGTGCGCGCGCATGTGTACTGGGCATTCCACTGAGCTACACCACCATCCCCTGGGCTCCGTTATTATTTTTCTAGGTGAGAAAATTGAGACTTAAAGAGGATGATGCTATGTTCTTCAATGAACAAGGAATAATGATAGAACCTGGAGCTACCCCAGAGCCTGAAGTCTTATCTTCCCTACTGAACTGCCAGCTCACAGTTGGCAATTTCTCTCTGTGCTTCATCTGGAAGATTAAATACTTGTGGCTGAATGTGGTGACACATGCCTGTAATCTCAGCTACTGAGGCAGGAGGATCATAAGTTCCCATACAGTCAGTTCCAGTCCCCCTCCCCTCAAAACCGGGTGGGCAAGGTTCATGATACTGGGGATGAGCCCAGGACCTTCACAGTGAAGTAGATTCTCAACCCAAAGTTTTTTATTTTTTTTAATTTTGGGACAAAAAATATATATATAATTTCAGACAGGGTCTCACAAAGTCACTAAGTTGCCCAGGCTGGACTCAAACTTATGATCCTCCTGCCCTAGCCTTCCAAGTGCTAGGATTACCGCATGTGCCAGCATGCCTAGTTCACCCCCAACTCTTTTTATATATATACTTTTAAATTTTGAAAACTGGGCATGATGTCACATGCCTGTAATCCCAGCACTCTGGGAGGCTGAGGCAGGAGGATCACCATGATTTCAAGGCCAGCCTGGACTACATAGAGAGACTGTCTCAAAAAAACAAAAAGGGTTGGGAGTGTAGAGAGGTAGTAAAGCAATTGCTTAGCATGCCTAAAGCTCTGAGTTCAATACCCAGTACTACAAATAAATTGATAAAAAATTGTTAGCTAAGCAGTGTCTGTTTCTGCAGGTTTTCCTGTGCATTAGTTACCAACCAGATACTAACCCCAAGGAAACACACAGGGAAGTACTGACCATTCAAGGTGTTTTTGCGGTGTACATCAAGAAGGCGAAAATATTCCAACAAGGCCTTCACATTCCTGAAAGATAATAAGCAGTATATTTTGTCCAGATAGAGGTACCACAGAAATGACCCTTCCTTCACTCTCATCTTGGTACACTTTCAGCCAGGCGCCCTGGCAACCTGCAACAGAATAGAGAATTCTGCCTCGGAACCAGAATGCTGGACAAAGTATCTGAGAAGATCCAGCGGGAGTGGAGGTAAAAAGTCAGAGGAAACTCAATAATAAAGGGAAAGTGTTTCCTCTCTTCCCAGTTCTCCAGCTTTGCTGTCCATAGGATTGTCTGTCACTGAAATAATGGTTCTAAGCAAAATCACAGACTCCTTAGACGTGAACAAAGGACATCTGCTCCATAGGGAAACTTCACTGTGTAGCCAGAGTGATTCTTGGAGTATTTATACCCCTCATGCATTTATTAGACAAGACAAAAAAAATAGGAAAATATGAAAGCAGTAAAAAAAAATCATAGTATAAGTCAGTAAAATAAAGCCAAAGAGAAGGAGTTTTTTTAAAGACGAAAATGCAAATCAGTAAATCTGCAAAGCAGTAAACTTGATTAGAATAACTGACTTATTTTTTATAATGGAATATTTCAAAGTTACCAAAAAGTAGAGAGATTAGTATAATAAAGCTTCATATACTCATCACCAAGTGGGACCAACTATCAACTCTGAGCCCATCTTATTTTATTTATATTCACTCCTGTCTGCCATCATCGCTGGGCTATCTTGAAGCAAGTCCCAGATAAAACAGCCCATCTATAAGTATTTATGTATTTCAAAAAGAGGATGACTTTTTTTTTAGCGATGGTACTAGGGGTTGAATGCAGGGCCTTCACACCGAGCTACATCCTTTGCCTTTTATTTTGTTTTTTTATTTTGAGGAAAAAAAGCTGCTAAACTACCCAGACAGGGTTTAGACTTATGATCCTCCTGCCTCAGCCTCCCAGAGTGCTGGGATTACAGGCATGTGCCACAACACCTGGGTGTTTTTTTTTTTTAATTTTTATTTATTTATTTTTTTGGTACTGGGGATTGAACTTGGGTCCTTGCGCTTGAGCAGCAGGTGGTGAAACCACTGAGCTAAATCCCCGGCCCTATTTACTTATTCTTGAGACAATGTCTCATGCATAGTCCAGGCTTGGCTTTGAACTTACTGTGTAGCCAAGTCTGTCCCAAACTCATGATCTTCCTGTTGTAACTGCGCCAGCATGCCTAGCTGATGATTTTTTAAGGTCACCACTTACCATCAGACCTAAAGATAAATGATAATAATTCCTAAATGGGGCTGGGGGTTTAGCTCAGTGGTTTCACCGCACGCTGCACCAAGCACAAGGACCTGAGTTGGATCCCCGGTACCCCCCAAAATAAATAATTCCTAAATGTCATCAAATATTCAGTCAGTATTCACCTTTCCTAGTTATTTCTTAAAAGTCATAATATATGGCTAGTTAAAGTCAGGGACCCAAACAGTTATTTATTGTTTACAATGTTTCCTAAACGTCTTTAGTTTTCTCCTTTCTTTTTCATACAGTTAAAGAGTCCAAATTGTCTTGTAGATGAAAACATTCTGGTTTTTCCAGACTTATCCTCAATATGTTAGCATGTTCCTCTGTCTCTTGTATTTTTCCATAAGCTAATAGTTAGATCTAGAATAAGTCTAGTTTTAGGAAAAGATCGATAGAAACAGACAAACTGGGCAGATGCAGTAGTGTACTCCTGTAATCCCAGCTTCTAGGGAAGCTGAGGGAGGAGGATTGCAAGTTCCAGTGCAAGCTGGGCAATTTAGTGAGATAGCTAGACAGACAGACAGACAGACAGACAGCTGGGTATGCAGCTCAGTGCAAGTCCCTGGGTTCAATCTGCAGTTCTGCAAAAACAAGAACAACAAAATAAACTTTTGCAAATATGATAAGGAGGGGAAATTTTAAAAATTAACGGAAGAGTAAACACAAGTAATGTTATGAAGAACATTAAAATACATATAAGAATATTAGGTAAGCAAAGAGGCCCACACCTGCCGCATGACACGACCATCCCATCCACCAGCTCCAAGCCAGCTCTATGCTTTGTTTCCCCATGGTACAGGGCAGCAGAAGTGCAGAGGAGCCAACTGACCTGACACTGGATGAGGACAATGCCCAGGGAGAGAAGGTGAGCCTGGAAAGCCAGCCGCTCCATGGAGAATGTATGGACCTGGCTGGGGACCTCAGAGACTCATGTTACCTTCCCAAAGTGACTGGGTAAGAGGCAGCCACTGGAGACCACCACAGAATGGGGGTGGAGCAGACATAGATGCCCCTGAGAAGTATCAGTGCAGGCTGGGAAGGACGCAGGTCCTGGACTTCATAGGGAACAACCAGATCCCATAAGTCTCAACATTAAGTCCAACAGTCCACTTGAATCCCCACCCCGCTGCCTCCATCCAGCAGAGACCAGAGGGCTGACTGCCTTTCCCATTTACCGCTGTGAGCAAGGACACATCTTGGCTTGGAGGGAAACCAGAATCTGGAGTGAATGGACAGAGAGGGCACTTAAAGAACCCATAGGCCCTAAATCTAGGTGGAGAAAATTGTGACTGGCTGGATTATAAAACTGCAGATTCTGAAAATAAATCACTCACTTAAAAACACAGAGGAATTTTTTCTTTGACTCAATATTTTTTCTAGATTTTATTATTTTTGTCTCTTTCATTGGGTTTTTGGGGGTAAGAGGGGCTTTTTTTTTTTTTTTGTACCGGCGATTGAACTCTGGTCCTTATACTTGCAAGGCAGGCACCGGAACCACTGAGCTAAATCCCCGGCCCGCCTGTGACTGTTTTCTAACATATTAATTTCCTTTTACTCATCAATAGGATCCCCGTTGCACTTTTATTTTCTCCTCATATCCCATTGATTAATTTAAAAAATTTTACTTTTTCATCCTCCAGTTCCCCACCCCCTCTACCTTTATTAGTATAACTACTAACCTGTATCAGTCTCTAGATAGCTAGTTAAATTTATGCTATTGTTGTTGAATACTGTTCTATTGGTAGTAGAGGTAAGGCTATTCCATTTAGTAGATATTTACTGTAGATCAATACTGAGTTATCTTAATGTTCATACTATAATTATAGATCTCTTTTCTATGGTTAAGGGTGGTACATTTTGGTCCTTAGGGTTTGTCAAAATTCATTTTGTCTTTAATGCTTAATTGATGCTGATTTTATTACAATAGCCAAGGCGACATAGTTGTTACTATTAATTGGTTTTCTTGGAATGCCAATCTCTGGATTGCCTTGGGGTCATTAACAATATGGTGGCCCATTCCTGGAGAACTGGGTACTGGACCAAACAGGCTGCAACTTCCCATCCCAAGTAAACAAAGATGGTTGGATCCTGGGACAGAGGCAAAGGCCAACAGTTAGCCAGGCTGAGGGGACACCTCTGAAAAGTAGATATTAACTAAAGAGGTCTCCATACTTACAACAAAGCTTTCAGCTAAAATCAACCCACAAGCCTCAATACAAAACAAACAAACAAAAATAGAAACATGAGAAGACATGGCAATAAAATGCCTCCAAAAACTCCCAGTTCCCCCAAGCTGATTCATAGGGCATCAAAGGGAAGGAAACCACACAGTTAAATTATTTTAAATGATATCAGAGGAGATAAAACAGATCAATAAGGCATTTGGCAAACTCAAATAAGATAAAACTAAACAGATAATGGGACAAATAAAATGATCATGGAGGGCCAGGGATTTAGCTCAGTGGTTTCACCGCCTGCTGCGCAAGCACAAGGACCCGAGTTCAATCCCTGGTACCAAAAAAAAAGAAAAATGATCATGGAATCTACAAAAGACACTAATAAAAAGCTAGTAGAGTTAAATAAAATGATGTAAAATATGAATGACCAGTATAGAAAAGACTTATAAAAAAGGCTCTAACAGAAATTCAGGAGATTAAAAACCACTGAAAGTATGGGCAACAGAAGTGACCAATGTGAGGATAGACAAGAAGTCAAACAATAACAAATGCTAGCAAAGCTGCAGGGGAAAAGGAACTAGTTTACAGTAATGATAGGAATGTAAACTAGTGCAACTACTATGGAAATCAGGATGGTGATAAAACTAAAAATAGTAATTCCATTTGACCCACTATTCACCTTCTAGGTGTCTTCCCAAAAGGGTAAAGATATATTACAGTGATACATGTATACCCCTGTTTATAGCAGCACAATTCATAATAGCTAAATCTTGGAACCAGCTAACATGGCCATCAACAGACGAATAGATAAAGAAAATGTGGTATGTACACACAATGTAGTACTATTCTCCTGTGAAAAAAGATAAACTTGAGTCACTTGTAGGAAAATGGATGCACCTTCAGACCGTAATGTTGAGTGAAATAAATCAGACACACCTGTTTAAATTTCGCATGGTTTCTCTTTGATGAGAAACCCAAACTATAAATAAAGAGCAAAATAAAAGATAGATAACAGGAAGTAGGGAAATAGATCTTTCTCTAATGGGAAAGGGATCAGGAGATGGGGGAGGGGGAGGGAGGGAGAGGAGAGAAAAAAGATGAAAAGAATTAAGATTATTATGTACATGTACCAACTCCACACAAGGGATGTAAACATAATATGCCAGTAAAAAAATAAAAATTAAGAGTATTATGTAAAACTCTATAACAATAATTTGAAAATCTAAATTATCCCTGTCCAATAAATATATAATGTGAGTCACAAATCATTAGTTACATATGTAATTAAAAATTATCTAGTAGGACTGGGGATATTCCTCAGTGGTAGAGTACTTACCTAGCCTGTTCAGGCCTTGGGTTTCATCCCCAGCATGATTAAAAAAAAAAAAATCTAGTAGCCACATTTTATGAAAGTGAAAAGAATCAAGCGAAAATATAGTTTCAACAACATTTTATTTAACCCAATGTATCCAAAATATTATTTCAATTTCAGATTGTAATCAATGTCTTAAAAAAATTAAAATCCAAAGGGCTGGGGAGGGCCGGGGATTTAGCTCAGTGGTTCTGCTGCCTGCCTCGCAAGCGCAAGGACCCAAGTTCCATCCCTGGTACCGAAAAACAAACAAAGGGCTGGGGATATAGCTCAGTGGCGCCATGCCTGCCTGGCGAGTGCAAGGTCCTGGGTTCAGTCCCTGGCACTGGTACCGGAGAAGAAAAAAAAAAACCTGAAGTCAATATACTTTCTTTCCTTTGGGCTGGGGATTTAGCTCAGTGGTGCTGCTGCCTGCCTCGCAAGTGCAAGGTCCAGAATTCGATCCTGGTAGCAAAAAAAAAAAAAAATTAAAATCCAGTGTATCTTACACATATGGCACATCTCAGTTTGTAGTGGTTACCCCTGACAGGGCCAGGTACTCAGCAGCCACAGAGGGTTAGAGGCTGCCATACTGGAGAACACATCTGGTTGAAGGAGTTAAAATACCTTGTCAACCATTAACCCTAACCCGAAACCAAAAAGTCAGCTGATGAAGTGCTGAAAAAAGACACTTAACTCATACTGAGGTAGGAGGTATAGTAAGGACAAGTTAACAGCAGAAAGCAGTAGAGCAAGAATTGAGAAACCTGACAGAGCAAGAATGACTGTCAGAACAGTGGGAACCCAACAAATAAAGATCAAACTGCCCCTCAAGACTCCCAGGCATATGAAACTCAAAGTACATGACCCTAGCCTAAATCCAATCTTGTTTGCATTGTGATTCTGGCACCCTGGCCCCTGACCCTGGCTTTGGATGCCATGATACTTTCTCTAAAAACTTTGTATGATTAATAACTCTCTTCCTATTGGTGAGCTGAGTCAGTTGCCCCACTGGGCCATGACTCCTGTAAATCCCCAGCTACACATCCTCTCATAATCCCAGGACTTTAGGAGGCCCAGTACCTGTTCCTATCAGGTGTGAACTCTTCTCACCATGGAGTGCATTTTTGCTTCTTTTACTTTTAATAAATCTCACTCCTGTTGCTCCTTCTAAGTGTCCTACTCAAATCTTTGTTGGAGATACCACGAAGCTACAAACAACTCCCCTGAAACCCTCTATCTGATTACAATATGGTTTTGTGGAGGTTTTTCCTAACTACCAAGGAACAAATAATCTTTGTTATATAATTAAAAGCAGTTGTAATTTTAGTAATGCAATGGCCTAGGCTAAGGGGATAAACTTCCTCACTAAAATCTAATGATTCTATGGATAAAATCCTTGGCAGCTCTGAAGAAGGAATGAAGTACAGCCCAGAGGGTAACTTGTTTTCATTAAGGTGGTGGGTGAATAAAAGAGAGCCAAGGCCTACCTGAAGTGGGAGTGTAACAATACTCGATACTGAAAAAGCTGGGGCCCACCGAGTTACAGCCTCCAGGCATAGGCAAACCAAAAGTATGCTCCTCTGCTCCGGTCCCAGGAAATGGTGAGGGAAGCTGTTATAATAGTGAGCAGAATGGCAAGAGGAAAAATAATCCCTGAGAAGTTATTAGCAAGTGGTAGGGTCCTTCATGTAACCCCACCACTTCATTTGGGTGGGTCAAGAACTTCAAGCCCTGGATATAAATTACATGGATCTGAACTGATAGTATCCCCTAAGAACCCAGCAAAGCAAACACATTTCCTTTCTGAAGGATCACACCTTTATTCAAGTTGAAAGAAATTCCTGAAATAACTTCCCAAGTACATGAAACACACAAGAAAGAAAATATACCATGAGCGGGAAGCAGCAGAAACAACAGACAATAGAAACAGGACAATAGAAACTTCAGATACTGGAATTACCAGGCATAGGTTATGAAATAATTATGTTCCAATTTTTTTTTTTTTGTACTAGGGATCAAACTCGGGTCCTTGCGCTTGCGCAGCAGGCAGTGAAACCACTGAGCTAAATCCCCAGCCCTATGTTCCTACTTTTAAAGTAGTGAAAAGATGTACTTTACTTTTTTTTTTCTGGGTGCTGGGGATTGAGCCTAGGGCCTCACACATGCTAGGCAAGCATTCTATCACTGAGCTACATCTCGGCCCCACTTCATTTTTTTCTTTTTTTTCTGGTACAGGAATCCAACTCAGGACCCCACACTTGACAGGCAGGTGTGCACCACTGAGGTAAATCTCCAGCCCTCAACTTCATTTTTAACAGATTCATAGACCCTGAAATCATTTTAAAGTATGTCTTAGACTGGGGATCTAACTACAGGTAGACAGAGTCAGAGCTGAACTGAATTGTGAGACACCCTGTTTGTGTTTGCAAAGAACTGGAGAACTGGTTGTGTGGGGAGAACTCCCACATCTTTGGTGGCTAGAAGTGAGATGGTGAATGCTGTGAGAACGTAAAACAGTTGGACAGTTTCTTAGAAAGGCAACCAACCATACCACGTACATTGAGCAGATGAGCTCCTAGGGGCACCCAGGAAACTGAAAATACATCTGTAAAGGACAAGAAAAAAGTTTTTCTTCATCCATTACTAAGTTCATAGTGAGATACCTGTAACAAGTGACAGCAATGAGAAAAACACATGGAATAGTTTTTATGGGATAGAATCGTCACAAAGAAATGAAGACTCATAGGTAAAATTGTGAGTTTTTATGCTTAGGAAGAGTGGAAAGTTGTTCAGAAATACGACAGGAGGACAATGAGCCATGACCTAACTGTGACGAAGGCAGTGACTTACGGGGCCTGATTGTTCAATTCTTTGGGGCATCTCTGTTTTCAGCTCCTTTCCTTTGGACATGGGGAAGGCGCCTGTGGAATGAGAATCTTATGACATTCCACTGGGGAAAAGGGGGAGGAGAGAGTAATTTTTCCCTGTTGTGTTTTCCCGAATGCCAAGGTGTCATTTTGCGGGGTTAGCATGTCCTGAACCCCATCATATCCATGAAAAGACGCATGTGCAAATGTTCACAGAAACTTTATTCATACTAATCAAAGACTGAAACAACTCCCATGTCTATCAGTAGCTGAACAAACTAAGAACGTATGCTATGTCCACACAATGGACTACTATGTAGCAATGAAAAAGATCGAGTCATGAATAATTCAACAAGGTAACGCATCTCAAAAACTGGATGAATAAAAGAAGCTAGACATGGGCTGGGGATGTAGCTCAGTAGTCAAGGGCTTGAAGGAAGGCCCTGGTTTTGATTCTTAGGACTTTAAAAACAAACAAACAAACAAACAGAGAGGCCAGCCATGAAAGAATGCATACAATATGATCCCACTTATGTGTTAAAGTAGAAAAGACAATTCCAATATGTGGTGACAGGAAAGAGATCACTGGTTGTAAGGAACGGGAATGAGGATTAACCTGTAAAGAGGCAAAAGGACATTTGAGGAGGTGGCAAAGCTCTGGCTTGACTGTGGCGACAATATAGACTTGTCAGGGCTCATTAGCACTATGCTTTAAATGAGTACACTTTTACTGAGGGTAAATTAAACCCCAATGAAGCTGATCTCTAAAAATTATAACAGCTAAGAGAAGCTGTGGATGTAGCTTAATAGTAGAGCATGTGCTTAGCATGCACCAGGGATTCAATCCCCAGCACCAGGAAAAAATACATATGAGAAAAAGATTCAATTACAACAATATTACTCATCTTTGTTCAACAGAAGGCAACATGGGAAGACTTAACAGGTGGATGGTAGCTTGGGAGAAGGCATTTGCAGTGTCTAAGCCCAACAAGACACTATTTTAAAAATTCCTGGAGTTAAAAAAAAAAAAAAAGAAGCCAGGAAGCTGTCCATGGGACCCATGTGTTAATTTTAGCAATAAGAGGCTGAAGCAGGAGGATCACAAGTTTGAGGCCAGCCTGGACCACATTGTGAAGCTATGTCAAAAAGAAAACAAACATACAGGGAATCAAATAGAAAAATGGGGCCAGGCATGGCAGCGCACCCCTGTAATCCCAGCACTCGAGAGGCTGAGGCAGGAGGATCGCTGTGAGTTTGAGGTCAGCCTTGGGTACATCATAGTGAATTCAAGGCCAGCCTGAACTACATAGTGAGACTCTGTCTACAAAAAAAAAGAAGGAGGAGGAGGAGGAGGAGGAGGAGGAGGAGGAAAAGAGAAAGAAAAATGGGCAAAGAAGCGGAAATCCAAATGTCTAACAAAATTCTGAAGACTTGTGCAAATGTAGTAGTAATTAGAAACATGTAAATTAAAATATGTATCAACCTTACTAGGAATAGATCATTTCTATCTTAAATTGTACCAGAAAACAGAAAAAAACCCCATAAAGAACAAAAAATGTCGGGCTGGGGATTTAGCTCGGTGGTGCCGCTGCCTGCCTCACAAGTGCAAGGTCCTGAGTTTGATGCCCAGTACCAAAAAAAAGTCTAGTTATTTTCTTTCCTCATCTCTAGGTTCATGGTTATACTTGCCTTTAGGGCAAGGATACTAATTTATTTAATTTGAATCATTAGTTGTTTCAGACAAGTGGCTTTGTTTCTGCGGAACCTTTCTTTATTCTTACAATGTGTTTTGTTTTGTTGTGGAACTGGGGATGAAAGCCAAGGCCTTCCCTTTTTATTCTGACCTGAGGTCTTGTTAAGTTGCTTAGGCTGGCTTCAAAGTTGGTGTTCTCCTGCTTCAGCCTCTCATGTCCAGCAATAATGAATTTAGTTTTATTTATTTATGTGGTACTGGGGATGAATCCAGGGTCTTACACACCTTAGGCAAAGCACTCTACTACTGGGCCACACCTCCAGCCATAGTTCACAACTTTGTTTTTTGTTTTTGTTTTATAAAATTCATTCGTTTATAAAAATGCAAGTTGCAATTCAGTGATTGGGGTAGATTTACTGGGTTTCAGAACTCCATCTCTCCACGAAGATTTTTCATTGTCCATTACAATTAATCCATATTTCCCACCAGCCACAGGAAACCTTTCATCTCCTTGACGTCTGTGTGGATTTGCCTTTTCTACACATTTCATTATAAATAAAATCATAGGCCACGTGGTCTTTTGGGTCTGGCTTCTTTCACTCGGCACAGTCGTTAATGGACCTTTCATTTGTATTACTCATTTTATTTTTTTCTGTCAGGGCTGGTCTGAGCCCTCTGGCCCTCCGCCTCCCGCCAGCTCCTCCACGTGGCTCCCTTCGTCTGAAGCAAGAGAAAGACCTACCTTTCTGCTTGCTCACCGGCTGACTCAGTGAGAGCAGTCTGGGGAAGCATTTCCTTCTTTTAATGATAAAGGCCCTTAAAAATCCCAAGCACGAGTTCTGTGCTGAGAACATTTCAAACCGACCGGCAACCTTCAGCCAAAGAGCACTGCCTGCGCAGACCACCCCTGTGCTGTGGGCGAGCTTCGCTGGCTGCTCGTACGCTGTGCAGGGGGTATTTTCCGAGCAAACTATTGAGAAAGGGGAGAAAACACCATAGTGTGGATGTTTTCCGTTTTCCGCAGGTGCAGGTCCTGGAGTGTGACATTCGCTTTCCATAGCTAGCCTTGCAGGCTGCACGGCTCCCCGCAGCGCTTTCGTTTGGGAAGCCACCTAGTAGATTATTCAGGTAAAAGCAGTTTATAATCTGTTCACACAAGCAGGTAACGGTAACAGTGAAGTGAGTCAAACCGCCTGGATCGAGGATGAACACTGTCAAAGAAGTCTTTCAGTGTTATCTCTAATACGCTCATCTTTTAAGATGAGAAATAAACTAGAAAGTTTTTACTTAACTTGATGTATTTCCGCTAACCCATCTTGAAGCAAGAGATAGTCCCAAAGGAGCTCTTCCCAGCCTAGGAAACTTGCTTGGCAAGTGTGGGGATTGCGGGCTCGCGGGGAGCCGGGGAAGCAGGAAACTGGGGACCGACCGCCCGCGGCTGCTAGAACGCTGCATTTTGCGCACTAGGAGGCAGCACCGCGCCGAGGAGCCCGCTCCAGACTGGCAGCCAGGACGTGTACCCCGGGGCGAGTGCCCTCGCCCGCCCGGCATCCCCATCTGCAAAGTAGGGGCGAGCAGGACTGGCTGGCAGGGTGGCTGTGGGTGGATTCCACGCGCGATTGCGGGTTCGCCTTCGGGGCCCTACAGCGATCAGGAGGCGCGCGCAAAATGCCAACTCGTTGTCCCTCGAGCTACCACAACAACTTTGAGAGCTCGGCGGCACAGCTGATCTCCCCATAACCCATCCAGTCCCACCAAGTGGTTCCCCAAGCTCTCCCACCAAAGCCCAGCCGGTGGCTCGCGGTGTGAGGTGCGCGGGGACTACAGTTTCCAGAGTGCCCTGCGGCGACGGGCGGAGCCGGGGAGCGCCCGCAGCCAATTAGGGGGGCTCGGCGCTGCCCCGGAGCTGCAGGTGGAGCCGCGCGGGTGGGCGGGCGCGGGGCGGGCCCCGGAACGCGCCTGGGGGCTGGGCTGCTCTGGGGGGCGGCGCGATCAGAGCCGGCCCTGAGCGGGTGGCTAGGGGACCGAACCGCCCGGGGCGGGGACGCGGCCGCCTGCTCGGTTCCGGGAGCTCGGGCTGTGGCGCTGCTCAGAGCGCACTTGACCCAGGTCGGCTGCGGGGAAGGGCGGGTCTGGGGAGAATCCCGGGTGCTGCGCGTCCTCCTACCCCTCCTCCTTGCCCTGCCGATCCGCGGCTCGAGCCGGACCGGCGCCGCCTCGCGCCCCCAGCCATGGCTTTCGCCAATTTCCGCCGCATCCTGCGCCTGTCTACCTTCGAGAAGAGAAAGTCCCGTGAATATGAGCACGTCCGCCGGGACCTGGACCCCAACGAAGTGTGGGAGATCATGGGCGAGCTGGGCGATGGCGCCTTCGGCAAGGTTTACAAGGTGAGGGTGGCGAGTGGGCGGCCAGGCGCGTGGAGCGGCTCCTGGAGGAAGGAGCGCCGGCCCGAGTGAGCCCGGCCGCTAGTCGGAAGGGCGCACGGGGGTCTTCGGTTCCGCCCCGGTGACCCTTGCGTTTGGGGAAACCGCACTCTGCCGGGTTGAATCGTTCCGTGCCGAGTGCCCCCCTGGGCTCTGCTGTAGCCCCTACCCCTGCTCAGTTTCTGAGCACTTCCTGTGCATCCGGCACTGTGCTCGGCGCCTGGGGGCGGCGGGGGGCGGCAAAGGGACGCTTGTGGGACTTCTGTGCCCGAGATGGCCGGCCACCCGTGGCACTGTCCATGATACTGATAGGCATACTTCTAAAGCGAAGCGACTCAAACTGTGGGAATTCCGAAGCGTCGGGGACAAAGTCGGCTGGCCTGGGAGGGTTGGGAGTGCCTGACGCCCCTGAAGATGAGGCGGGGACGGGGACCTGGGGACGGCAGTGTGGCCTCTAGAGCGAGAGGTGACTCTTGGAAGGCGGGCTGGGGCCAGGCCCAGGGCGAAGCCAGGGTCCTGTGGATGCAGATCTGATTCTGTACCCTTGAGTCACGGCTGGGGAGGAGCCCGGCCCTGCAGTCACCTCTTCCCTGGTGGAAGACGGGGCCGGTGCTTTTGTGGTGGGTTGGGTGGGGCCGCGCTGATGAAATCTAGAGACGTTTGCTGCGGGACTTTGTCTGGGTTCTGCTCTAGTGAGCCAGTTCTGAGTTGTCGAGGGCACCTAAACACCTACAGTCTGACTCCACCCTTTCCCTAATCTTAATCCCCTTTCCCCTAGGACATTTTTGAGTTGAAGTCTTGCTGTGTGGTCCGGGTAGCTTTCTGGCTGGGGTAGCTTTCCTGGGCTGCAGCTATCTCCCTGCCTCAGCCTCCTGAGTGGTAGCTGGGATTACAGTGGCCAGCCACCACAACCCTTACGGGGAAGAAAACCCTTGCTGGGAGGCTTCCACGTGTTTAGCCGGTGGGCACTCCCTGGAGGGTGCCTCTTCCCTAAACCAGCCTACTCTCTCCTTGGGGCTTGTATAGGTTGGAGGCCACTCTGACCCCAGAATTGCCTTTCAGAAGGCCAGGCAACAAAGAGGGCTTCTCCAGCTTTCCCTCCCTCACCCTCTCCTCTGTCTCCAATAAGACCTGTTCTCTGTGACTTGAAATTGATCTAGAGCCTCCTTACCAAAGCACGGTCCCGGGTTTACACGAATTAGCATCACCTGTGAGCTTGTTAGAAATGCCCACCCCAGACCTGACGAATTAGCAGAGTCTGCGTTTTAACAGGGTCCCAGGTGATTCCTACCACAAGTCCAAGTCTGAGAAGCTGAGGAGCAATGCTGAAAGGCTTGGGGTGATGTCAGTTTTGAGGCCAACCAGCCCTGTGTGTGTCTTTTGTTACCGTCCCACCTCCCCTCTGAGCTACCCCTTCCTGTTACGGGGCTGGGACCCCTCACTGGGGCAAAGGTCTGGTGGTCAGAGCGTCCAGCCCCAGTGTAGACGCAGACTTGGTTTGCTCTTCCTCTCTCCCTGAGGGGCATGCACACATTTGAGGACCATCAGGCCAGCACATCCTTGACTCCCTCAGCTGCATCCTTCTAGTAGCAGCAGAAAATGGGCCTCAGCCTCCCAGCTGTGCCTGACATCCTGCCAGTGTCCTTGCTTGCCTTGGCTCCTTGGTCAGATCACTGCCTAATCCACCTTCTCCAGAAGGCCCAGTGGTCTTGATGTAGTGCTATTGCAGCTTCATGATGGCTCTTCTCTGCTGGGGCTTTCAGTTGCCTCTCGTCTGCTCCCCCTGCACCATGTGTCCTGGCTTCATAGGGCTCATTTTTGTGTAAATCTAAATGTGGAACTTCACTTTTATGCTGGTAAAATGCCCCCTTGGCATTTTGTCATTTCAACCCACTGTGATCCAGTAAAACTCCCTTACTGCTCTGGCTTTCCCTACAAAAGAATTCCTCGATCCACAAATTATTTTATCTCCTCCTGATTCTCGAGAGCATGTGGACCCTTTTTAAAAGGGACCACAACTCCCAAAGCTGTGAGCTTGCCCCACCACAGCCCCTCTCTCAGCTGAACCCATGATTTTCTTGTGATTAAGACAATGGAAAGCTAGGCCAAGAGAGGGCTGGTGCACCTGTAAATGTAAACACAGGCACGAGTCCCCTAGCAACAGGCACCACGCAGAGGCGGTCCTTTGAGATGTGCACGGTAGCGGGCACATCTGTAATCCTAACACTGAGCGAAGCTGAGGTAGGAGAATTGTGAGTGCAAGCCCAGCCTGGGCAACTTAAGCGAGGGCCTGTCTCAAAATAAGACTACCTGAGGGGCTGGGGATTTAGCTCAGTGGTTTCGCCGCCTGCTGCACAAGTGCGAGGACCCGAGTTCAATCCCCAGTACCAAAAAAAAAAAATAATAATAAGACGACTACCTGGGAATGGAGCTTAGTGGTAGAGTGTCTTGGGGTCCAGCCTCAGCACTACACACATAAAAGCATAGTACATGTAATGGTGTAAATGGCAGTGCATATAATAATTAAGAAATGACAGTATTACTGGCTTATGTTTATACCACATGCTGCCTTTTATTGTTATTTTAGCGTGTGCTTCTACTTATTTAAAAAAATGTACTGTGAGACAGTCTGCCCTGCCATGCTGGCGGCAGTCTCATCCGGCTCCTTGTCTTGATAGAATCATTTTCTCTTGTGTTTGATTTAACTGAATGTTGTTCACTGCCCTGGGAGTGATAGGCTAGGCTGTGCATATATGGGGTTTATAAAATATGGACAGCCTAGGTGGTAGCCTAGGTGTGTAGTAGATTATGCTAAGTTTGTGTAAGTACACTATGATGTTTGCACAGTGACAAAATCACCTAACGGTACTTTTCTCAGAATGTGTCCCATTGTTAAGTGACACACGACTGTATCACCTACTTGGCCTCAGCACGGGACTGTATTCTAACCAAGCTTATGTTCCCTGTGGGGACACTGAGGCCTAGGGTGGGGGCGGTCTAGAACCCAAGGTATTGGGATTCGGTGTAATACTTTTTCCTTAGTTGGCAACCTAGGAAGACTCATCCTGGATCAAAGATTCCTGTCACCCAGGGTGCCTTCCCTTCAGAGACTCTGCTTACGAGCCCCTAATCAGTGAAGTTGAAGTAGGTTACTTAGGACCCCTTACCCAAGGACTGTGACTCCCGCCCACTTTGTTGTTATCTGCCCTGGTTGCCAAGGCAGCACAAGTCAGAAATACCATTTTGGTTTTATGGATGGGATCAAAGAAACCATTTGGATGTGGTACCAGCAAAAGCATTTGACCATGAACTAGAGAGACTGGGGAGCAGAGTGGGTTATCCATCTGACATCGGAGGTTGCTGAAGGCCGTCCCGAGGGCCTCGGAAGCCTGTGAAGCCTTGAAAAGTCCAAGTTCATCGCCATTGTCGGGAGAGGACTGATCCCAGATTTCCTGATGAGAATCGCAAGAATCTCCAAGATGTGGAGCCTTTTTTTCTCCTCCCTGATCCACCTGCCTCAGGAGGAAAAAAGGGTAGAATTGATTTACCACAAAGCCAGGGTTATTCCACCCAGTCCCTGTGTGATGGCAAGGTGGTTTCAAAAGAAAATCATTTCTAGTTCATTACTAGAATACAAAGTAAAGCTTATGAGTTACATGGTTTCAAAATTCTTATCACAAAACAACATCTTCATGCTGGGGGGAGAGAGGAAGTGTTTCATGTGTGGAGTGGAAACTGCTGCCTTCAGCACTGTGCCTGGTGTTGGAAGCAGGGGCTTAATCAGGTCTGCAGTAATGAAGAGGGGTGGCTTAACAGGCTGAGATGGTTTCTCTGCTTTCTGAAAATTTCTGTCTCTCATCTTTGTCTTTTTGAACTTTAAAAGATTATTTTGCAAATTCGGGATGAATACAAGAAGATAGTAAAATCTAAAAGATAGTAAATCTAAAAAGAAAAAACAAATTCCCCCGAGTTCCATCAATTCTTGTTGACTTCCCCCCCAGTGCTGGAGATGGAACCCAGGGCCTTTGCGTGCTAGGCAAGTGCTCTACCCCTGAGCCTCACCCCCCAGCCCATATGTTTTGTTTTGTTTTGGAGGCAGAGTTTCAAACTCAGGAGGCCAAGTGATCTTTCTGCCTTAGCTTCTTGAGTAGGTGGGACTACAGATGAGTGTTGGCAATAACTGGTTGTCTTTTTAAAAAAAAAAAACTATTAATGAATTAAAGTTGATATTAAATACCTGTCTTGAGCCAAGCACTCACCACTGAGCTAAATCCCCAGCCTTTTTTTGAGACAAAGTCTCGCTATATAGTTCAGGCTGGCCTTGAACTGACAATTTTCCTGACTCAGCCTCCTAAGTGCTGGGATTACAAGTGTGCACCACCACCATGCCAGGCTGTACTAGACACTTTATATAATCTAGAAGACACACATTCCTTCTTGAAAAATACAGAACTATGCAAATTCATGCAGTGAAAACCAGAAGCCTTCTGAGAAAAATGGGATTAAGGGCATACCACTCAAAAATGTCATCAGTGGCATATTAAAAAAAAAGAAGGAAAGAAAAACAACTGGGCATGGTGGTGCATGCTTGTAATCCCATCATCCTGGGAGGCTGAGGGAGGGCAATTGCAAGTTCAAGGCCAGCCTGGGCAGTTTAACAACAGAGCAAGACACTGTCTCAAAATAAAAAACTAAAAAATAGGCTGGAGATGTAGCTCAGTGTGAAGTCCCTTCGTTCAGACCCTAGTTCTGTGCCCTCCCCAAAGATTGGAACCTGAAAAGCCTCATCTGCCACATGCTGCCATAGTAGATGTGGATACCAGAAGGACATGTGATGCCTCAGTGGAAGCTGGTGATGTTGGAGGTATTGGCAGTATATTTCGCATATTCCTGCAGTTTTGGCTCAGATTTGCTCCTGTCAGCTGATTGAAGTTTTTTGGGTTCATCTGGGGGTTTTTTGTTGTTGTTGTTTTTTGCGACTGGGGATTGGGTCCATCTATTTTTGCAGACAAAAAGTTACATTGTTAGCAAATTCACCTTTATTGCCTTAGGATAAAATCTTTCCTGCCTGCTTCTGTTGTGTTGTAACAAAATTGGTTTTATTGATTGTTTTATTTGCCCACCGAAAATTGAACTTGAGCTTTCAAGTGCTAGGCAAGTGCTCTACCACAGAGTAACACCCAGCCCTTGTTAGTTTTTTTTTTTTCTTTTTTTGGTACCCGGGATCAAACTCAAGACCTTGTGCTTGCGAGGCAGGCACGCTGCCACTGAGCTAAATCCCCGGCCCAGGCCTTATTAGTTTTTGAGACACAGTCTTGCTAAGTTGCCCAGGCTGGCTTTGAACTCAGTCTTGCCTCAGCCTTCTGAGTAGCTGGGATCACAGGACCACCATGCTGGGCAAATTGGTATTTTCAAAATAAGTGTTATAGAAGAGCTGACTGTATATTGATGAACAGCTTTGTTTGTGAAGTTCTTGTGCTTTAATTTTTAGGCTAAACTTTCAGAGGGGAATTACTAGGTCAAAGGGTATGCTGGTCTGAGGGTGATTTTTAATTGTTTGTTTGGTATTGGGGATCAAACTCGGGTCCTTCCGCCTACGAGGCAGGCGCCAGAACCACTGAGCCAAATCCCTGGCCCAAGGGTGATTTTTTTATATAAAATGAGATAAATTAATAGCAGTCCCCTTTCCCTGTTGCTTTCACTGAGGGCTGATCCCTGAATCCTCCTGGGCCTCCAGGGAGCCAGGGGCCCTGCCTGCCAGCTGCTGCCCAGACCTGGGTGCTCTCAGACATGTGCTGGCATTGGGAGCGATGTGACATCCTGCCTTTCCCGCCCAGTTTTAACAGAGCTGAGGTTAAGTGAGTCTGGCCCCTCCTCTGTCACCTCCTCCCTTGCATCAGGGATGGAAAGCCTGGGTTTCTACTTCCTCTGGGGCTGCACTCCCCCTCCCTCCCTTTCCCCTCCCTCCCCTCCTCCGGAAAGAGATCTGCCCCCAGGCAGTAACCTTATTTCCGCTCAGCTTAGTATTTTTAAACCCAAGTTCATGCTATTGTGAGTGGGTTCCTGACTTGGTCTTAAAACCAAGGTGGCCCTAGCTGTTGCTCCCTTTGAGGACCAGGCCTTGATCCAGTCCAGTAGACTGTAAAGTTGTCCCTCAGTGTTCACTGCGATTGGTTCTAGGGTCCCCTAGACACCCAGATCTGTGGACGCTCAGGTCCCTTATGTAGAATGGCATTGTGTTTGCGTGTAACCTATGAATATTCTCCTGTGTACTTTAAATCATCTCTAGATTACTCATTCACAATGCAATATACATGATACATGAATAGTTGTGATAAGATATTGTTTAGGGAATAATGACAAAGAAAAAGTCAAAATGGGTGCGATTGAAAAACACTGAAACAGAGGGCCACCCGTGTTTCTTGGGTCAAGTGTCAGGGTAACTGAAGAAAACTTGGCTTTAGAGTCAGCCCAGGGTTCAAAGCTGTGCTGTCCCGTTTATGTGATACAAAGTGCACAGCTTGTCCCCGAACCTGTTTCCCCATGTATGCAGTGCCTGAGCTTTGTGAGGATTCCATGGGTAGCAATGGCTCTTGCGCTGCTTGGAAAACTTGGAGCGTTTTGAAATCAGAAGGTTTCACATAAAAGCCAGGCATTGGTGTTCTTTGGGGATCTGCAGGGACATTCTGCTGGAACTGAGTAGCTGGGGCAGGCCCAGCACCGTGCCTGGTAACCCCATTCATGTAAGAGTGAACACAGGAGAAAGGAACCGTAATTGTATATTTAGCATTTCAGTATCTATTAACTGCAGAATTAAAGAGATATTTTATATTCTTTTACTCTACTCTTAAGTCTCTGAAATCTGCATGTTTTCAACTTGTGGCTCACGAGTCCGTGTGCATGAGCCCATCTAGATGACACATGGCTGGAGCTACTGTGTGGGGTCATTCAGACCCGGCTTCTCCTGTCTGCTGCCACCCCATCTGTCCCTTTGCCTCCTTCACCCACTTCCGTCACCTCCTTGGGCCCAGTGGTAGTGGGTTAGAGAACAGTCAGGGCAGGGGCAGATCTCATACGGCATTTGAGGGCTGTCTGAGACCATTCAGGCTGCACATTTCTCATGGTTCTGGGGCCTGGGGATTTGGTGGGATTTTCCCACTTCCTCAGAGATCCTTTCTCACTGTGTCCTCACAGGATGGGAAGAATGAACAGGCTCCCTGGGCTACTTCATCTACTTACTTAGTTTTGTGGTGCTTCGGATTGAACCTAGGTGTTCCAGCATGCTAAGCTTGAGCTCTACTGCTGAGCTTCACCCCCCAGCCAGGCCTGCTTCATTCATAAGGACACTAATCGCATTCCTAGTCACCTCCCAAAGGCCCCACCTGCTAATGCCATCACCTTGGAGGTTAGGATTTGAATACACCAGTCTTTCAAGGAGACACGCAGACATTCCCACCGTAGCAGAAGCCAAGTCAACAGGGCCTTGAATGCCAAGCTGAGGAATTTTGCAGTTTGGTTTTAAGGGGTGACCTGCCTTCCTTAAGTCCCCCAGGGCCTTACTCTCAGCCTCTGTGATGTTAGAGAGGGTGGGTAGTGGGGGATGACTCCAGGGCCAGAGAGCGGCAGTGATTTGCCCAAGCCTGCACAGCTAGAAATGTCGGAGCTGTCTCCCACAGGTGAGGTGGCCCTAGAGGAGTAGAGGTGGGTCCCAGCAGCCACACCCTGGGGCAGAGGCAGGAGGGCTGGGAGGAAGGGAAGGGGAGAGCTGTGGTTGGGGCTGGGTCAGAACCCAGGAAAGGGAAGTGCTTGATGCCAGGCCATCAACAAGGGAGGGTGGGTGGAGGAGATAGAGGTGTGGGAGGATGAGCAGGAGTGGGCCAGAAGGGGTGCACTTTTGCCAAGAATTGGAGGTGGTGGGGAACCTCAGTGAACTCTTGGAGTTCAAGCAAGGCTCTGCCTTACCTCTGCCTTGGATTCTTGCCCTGCAGAATGCAACAGTCATGGTGTGATTGCGTAGGGTGACATGAGGTGCCCTGAGGTGACCATGTGTCCAGGACAGTGGGTGAGTGCATCTGTCCATCGGCCCTTAGAATCAGTTATCAGCGCTTCCTGTGTGCCAGGCAGGGCTTCATGTTCTGATGGTAGGACTGGCTGTTGCTCAGCTCTTGCCTGCCCGTTTATCTTCCCTTGTTCCCATGCAGGAAAGGGCGAGGATCTTCGCTGCACACCCAGGAGGGTGCAGTGACTTGCTTAGAACCACACGGCCATCCATGCCAGGGCGGGCAGGAGCCTGTGCCTCCCCTGCACAGAACAGGAGAAGGTGAAGGGGTGCATCGGGCAGAGAGGGCCTGGAGTCGCTTCAGTGGTGACCCTTCTTCCCAGGCCTGCATCAGCTGGAGGGCAGCCGTAGTCTCTGTGGAAGAAGCGGTGACTCCAGGGCAGGGCCAGCAGAGGAAGTGGAGCCCAGGGGGTGCTGGGTGCTTCTGGGTGTGGTGGGTGGGGCTGCGGGGAACCCCGGGCCACCTCTTCCTCACTCCTCTGCCCTTCTCCCCACGTGCACTTTCTACTTCACTCTTCCTCTTGGCCTTTTTGCTTCCCCTTTGCTGCATTTTTTTCACTTCCTTCCCTCCTAGCCTACTGATTTTTTTCTCACCAACAGGTTATCTCAAAGCCAGAATTAGGCCTAAGACTTGAGGAAAGGAAATTGACCTCTGAACTGGTGACTGAAGAGTCAGCTCCAGCCAGCCTCCGTCTAGGCTGCAAAGAGTGTGGGGCTCCCTAAGGGGAGTTGAAGGAAGCGCAGCCCTTTCTGCCTCAGGACCTTTACACTTACTGCTCATGCAGATTCCACTCTCTTCCTATCCTGCATATCTGACTCCTTCTCATCCTGTGGGTCTCAACATGCATGTCCCCTCCTCAGAGAGACCACTTCTCCCTGACTACAGTTGACAGCTCCCTGTTGATCTCCTTCAGAGCTCTTGTCTCTACCTGGGTGTCCCTTGTGGAGGTCCTCGTTTATTTCCTGTCCTCAGTGGCAGAGGTAAAGTCCCCGAGGGCAGGGTGTGGGGAGGGAGGCTGAAGAGAGTAACGGGTCAGAGTGCAGTGGGATAGGAGGAATAACTGCTCCCATCTTGCCGCACAGCGGGGTAACTGTGGTTGAGAACACAGCACCCAGAACAGGATCTGTTCATGATACACATTAATTATCATCTGCTGAGTGAGGGGATGGATGGATGGATGGATGGAGAGTGAATGCCACCCTTGGCTTCCTCCCTCCTAGGCAGGCCCAGCTTTATGATTTTGATTGAGGTACGGGATCCACTGTGAGCTTCCTCCTGGCTTCATTGCTTATTTGCTGTGTGACCCTGGGCAAGTCACCTTACCCCTCTGAGCTTCAGTGTCTTGAGCTATAAAATAGAAAGCAAGCTGGGTGTGGTGGTGCACGCCTGTAATCCCAGCACTTGGGAGGCTGAGGCAGGAGGATCGCTGTGGAGTTTGAGGCTATCCTGGACTATACAATGAGTTCAAGGGCAGGCTGAACTACATAGCGAGACCCTGTCTTAAACAAACCCAAACAAAAAACCCACAAATCAAAACAATACTTTGCTCAGAGTTTGTGGAGATTGAGCTGTACAGCCATAGGACAAAGCAGATGTGACTTGTTGTCATTGGTGCTGCTGGCTGGCTTGGCTGACCTTGGGGTTCCTGGAGGTGGATGGGGCTGCTCCAGGGTAGATCCCCCAGTGAGGCCCAAATCCACCCAGCCTCGCAGAGGCCACTGAGCTTAGTCAGAGGTTTGGCAGGGCTTTTATGGCGGTCTCAGCACTGTGCTGCCCCTGGTCAGTTCCCCAGGTGCCGGGACAGCAGCAGGCATGCCCAGAAGGGGAAAGCCAAGGTCCCTCGGCCACCTTCCTGGAGAGCTGCAGACGGCCCTGACTGGGAGCCTAGGCCCATTCTGGCCCTGAAGGAGCAGTTGCTGCCATCCAAGCTGGCTGGGTCTCCCTGAGGTGCTGGCCCGTGTCCTTGCGCAGCCCTCTGAGTCTTCACTGTGTCTCGGTGGGCGCCGGCACTGTTGGGAAACCCGGAGCTCTTCCTGAAGCCGCCTTCTTCCTCAGAGGCCCTCACCCTGCCCCCTGTGGCAGGAGCCCCATCTCCGGGCTAAGGAGGGGTGGCTAGGGCGCCGCCCTCAGTGAGTAGCCTGAAGCTGCAGGCATGGTTACGACCTCGGTCTGAGCACCTGGCCACTTTGCTGAGTGCCTGTGGAGCCCCCACGCCTCCTGTGATGTTCATGCCACAGGTCCCAGCCCAGCCACTGGCCTTTTGGGTGACCGTGGGTAAGGGATAGCACCTTTCTGAGCCTTGATTTCCTTGTCTGTAAAATGGGGATAATTAGTTCCTCTCCCAGAGGGACATCAGGCATCTTTATACCTGTGGTCTTAGGAGGCCAGTACCTGAGGACTTGCAGCCAGGGCATGACTGACATCTAGTGTTAGTGAGGACAGCGTGGATGGGTGTGTCAACCCAGCTGTCTGGAGGCTGATTGGCAGGTGTCAGTCACATCTTAGGTTTTGATGCAGCAGTTGCCATGTGACAGCATAGAGTAGCTGATGATAGGGAATCGGTCAAATATGTGGTGGTCTTGCCATCAATGGGAGGCCCCTGCTTAGGATGAGGGAGGCGGGCAGGATGTTTTGCGATCCAGAAAGCCTTTGTGACTTACTGAACATGTGGAAATCAAAATCATTGATCTCTTGGAGGTAGAGTAGAAGGTGCTTCCCAGAGGCTAGGAAGGGAGGGGAAGGAGTGGGAGAGAGGATGGTTCAAGGGTAGAGGGGTAAAGTTGATAGGATTGACTCCTAAAGACCCACAGCACAGTAGGCTAAGATTGACAGCAGCTAATTGCATATTTCAGAGTAGCTGGTAGGATTTTGAGTGTTCCTAACAAAAAGATACGGGTACAGAAAGTACCCAGATGTGACCATTACACGTTGTATACTGTACATGTGTTAAAATATGCACTATACACAATCACAGTGTGTCAATTAAAAATGTACCTCTGAAAAAGAGAGTGAAAATGACGAGTGTGTACTCTTTAATTCCTTTTTAATAAAGCTCAGAGGGCTGTATTTGTGCGTAGAAAGACAATCATGAACAAATATTTGCGGGGTTCTTGTTCTGGGCCCAGCTGGTTCTAAGCACCGATAATGTGGTGACTCATTGGGTGATCACGGAACCACTTGGACAGGAATGTTAACATTTTCATTATATGAAGGTGGAATCTCTTGGGGTCCCACAGCTAGGAAGTGTTTTGAGCTGTTCTGAGCTGAGATCGCCCCACAAATCCAGGTCCATCCATACCAAGAGAGGAGAGGCTACAAAATGCAAAGGGCGATTATCTCTGGGGTTCTGGGTGGTTTTGATTTTTTTCTTTGTGCCATTCTATTTTTAAGATTCTCTCTCATGAGCAAGCATTATTTTTAGAATAAAGAAAACAGCATGGACAGTACTGTTGATTGAAAAAAACGAGGTCACCTTAACCTCTCAGAAGCCCGAGACTGTCTGGAAAACAGGGTGGATCAGAGAGCACCCCCGAAGCTGTGGTGAGGATTAAGTGAGATATTACATAAGGTGCCTTCTCTGGGCAGGAGTGGGCCACCCCAATCAAGATGCTTCCTAGACTCCCCAGTCCCTATAACTCAGTCCTGGGTCCAGTTTTCCTCTGGGAATGGTGGGAGCAACAGCCTCAAGGAGGCAGAACCCACGTTCACCTTTCCCGCTTCCTTTATCGGTGACATCTTGGAGTTGGGTTCCCCACTGCTTTTGAAAAGCTGAGATCTGAAGGCTCCCACGAGCCTGGCCAAGTTGGACAGGTTGCACAGGTTTGTAGCCAAGGTCATTTGGTATCTTTGGGGCCAATCCCGTTTGGATTTTAGTTTTGTTTTGTTTTTTTGGTTTTTTTGGTACCGGGGATCAAACTTGGGTCCTTGTGCTTGCGCAGCAGGCGGCGAAACCATTGAGCTAAATTCCCAGCCCCTGGATTTTAGTTTTTTATTTGCTGGCCCAGAAAGACTTTAGAGGCTTAGCATTTCCTGGCTGTGCCAGGATGGCTCGCCAGGCTTGTCCTTCCTGAGGTGGAAGAGTATTAAATGCCTGTCTTTGGAAGCCTTGTCACTTCTCTGCTTTTGTGCTGCATAATCTTTGCCATCCTTAAGTGACACTTGTTCTGAAACTTGGCTGTCTCATTTGTCATCACGCTGAAACTTGGCACAGCAGTTATTAATCAGGAAGTGGTTTGTCTCTCCTTGACAGAACCTTTTAACTATATACATCCTGGCCCAGTCAAAGGCCTTGGCTTCTTCAAGGTAAAGCGGTGCCATCTAGAGAACAGCTAGAGATTCAGAAATCTAAATGTGTTGAGGAACAAATGGACTGCTGCTATTATTTTCTTTTCTTCTCCTATGTGGAGATCTTCATTTCTCTTTTTCAGGGAGGTGTGAATACCCATTCATTGATCCATTCATCCATTTATCTGCCCTTCCATCTACCCATCATTCAGTCATCCATGAATTTTTTGGGGGGGAGACTGCAGTGGCATGCCACTGTGCCTCCTACCATCCATGATTTTAAAATACTTAACTGAGTGTATATACTATGACCAGACAAAGTAATAGATGTATTGGTGAAAAAGGTAAAAATGGTCTTAAGCTTTTGAATAACAAAGAATACACAGTACCCAGAGAGAACAGTAACAAACAGTAGTCAGCTGACTAAACCCATAGTGGTTCCCAGACTTTCTCACATGTCATTTGCGTCTGGAATCTGAAGCTTAGTGTCCTGGCTTCCTCAAGTACACTTAGCTGGTAAGTACTAGAGTTGGAACTTGAAGCTAGGACCTGTGCTCTTTCCATTCCACAAATCTCCACTTTCTGGAGGCTGTCCAAGTTTGTCACGGTGAGGCCACTGGATGGAGAGGGCCAGGTTCCTGTGGAAGTCACTGTTTGGTCTACTGTATTGATGGAAGGAGGGATGCTGGTGTTCACAGAGCCACAATAATGTAGGCTTAAGTGCTTTCTGGGAGAAAAGGAGGACTTGGTAATTGTCTACACTCTGGTCATATGTAGCAGTTCTTTTCTTTTTCCTTTTCCTCTTTTGGTGCTGAGGAGCAAACCCAGGGCCTCACTACCACTCACTACCACTGAGCTAAATGCTCAGCCCGCATTGCATTTCTTTATCCTTCTCATATTCATCTAGTAATCCATTCACCCAGTCATCCTTGTGCTCACTCACTGTCCTGTCTGTACATCCATCCATCCATCCATCCATCCATGTACCTGCCCTCCCATTTACCTACCCAGCTTCCTGTCTGTCTATCCATCCACCCACACACCCACCCACCTTCTCATTCATCTGTCCAACTCTCCACTCCAGCCTCCCGTCTGGCTACCTATCCCTCCACCAACACACTTACTCGTTTTCCTACCCATCCACCCATCCTTCTGTCCATACCCATCCATGTATCCGTCCCCCATCCATCTACTCATCTTTCTGCCTATCTGCCCACCATCCTCATCCATTCTCACATTCACCCACCTATCCATCCATCCATTTCTCCACCTACTCTCCCACCCATCTGCCTGTCTGCCCACCCACCCATCCTCCCATCCATTCATCTGTCTACCCATCTCTGCCTTCTGCTCCATTCTCCCTCTTCTCCTTCACTACCCTCCCATTTTCATATCTGTCCCCTGGTTATTCTGTGCCAGTCTCAGTGGGGCATAGACTGAGGGGAATGAGACATGGGCTTAAGCTGTTCCCAGCTCACAGGTCAGAGAGAGACTGTGGGACACACATGACCATGGCACCAGGTGGTCTGTACTGAAAGCCCTTAGAGGGTTCGAAGAACTCCTTGTAGTGGGTGGAATGGGGTTCTGGGCAGATTTCATGGAACAGTCCGGGCTTGGATTAAAGTCTGTGGAATAGTGAATGCAGAACCCAGGCAGAGGAAGGAGCATGAAAGAAGGTGAGGAGTGGGTGAGCCAGGCTGTGCAGGGCTGAATGCCAGGCAGTAGTGGCTCCTGTACAAAAGGGCAACAGGAAGTGCTGGCCAGGACCTCAGCACAGGGTACCTCTGAGGTTTACCTGAAGAGTGCTCCTGGTTGGAGGCAGTGGAGGAAGACGTGGTGGAGGAGGACTGGCACCCACAGCCATTGGGCAGGAGACCCCCTAGAGGTGGGGTCTTTAAAGGCAGAGCTGGATTTGAGTTTTGAGTTCTGGCAGCTGCTTCCCAGCTGTGTGACCTGGGATAAATCCGTTCCCTACCTGGGATGCTTTTCTTTTCCACAAAAGAAAGTGGTGGCTCATATTTGGGCTTATGCTGGATAGAGTCAGGGTGCTCATTGTCCTGCCTCAGGAGACCACAGGAGGCTGTGACGGGCCCTTGTCATCCTGCTGTGCACAAGGCCCCAAGCTCCCAGAAGGCCTGGCTGTTACAGCTCCACTCCTGAGCTGACTTGTGCCTGTCAGCTGGACCTTAGTACACTCTGACCCCTAGCACCCCTCGGTGCCCACCCAGCCACTAAGCCTGCTGCCCTCATACCGCCCTCCTTGAGTTTATGTCAGGTCCTTTCCCTGCATGTAGCCAGTCCTACTGTGACCCTGGTTTCCTCTGGAGCCAGATTTCCTCTCCTCCATAGAATTGAGCCTTTCCTGCGATTAGCAGTGGTCAGCAGCATGCAGAGAGATTCCATTTGTCTGGCAGGGACCAGACCAGGCCCCCTTTGGTTCCAGTGGCCTGAACCCTATTTGACACATGCCTGGTACAGCTGTCCAGCATCAAGAGCTTGGGGAAAATGGAAACCTTGAGCCCTGACTGCTCTCTTCGTTGGCTGTGACCTGCTTTTCATCTGTCAGGTCAGCTGGGAGCCTTCCTGCACGCCCCATGGCCTAGCCAGGTTGCTAGGCGACCTCACCAGCAACCGTCCACCCCGCCTGCCTATGAGGTTCTGCTTCCTACTCTGCGCTCACTCCCGTTTTTCTTTCTAGAAAAAGAAATGCATGTTTCTGGGCTGCGTCTGGGACAATGGAGTGAGTTTGAGATGCTCCCTCCCCTCTAGGAGGAGGCCCTTCAGTGTCAGAGAGGGGTGGCAGTTGTCCACTAGAACTTTGGGCAGTGGTGAAAATGTCCTGTGCCTGCGTTCTTCACTGTGGTAGCCACGTGTGGCTATTAAGCAATTGAAATGTGGCTGATACAACTGAGGAACTTCATTCTGATTAATTTAGTAGCCACAGGTAGCTAACATTTCCATAGTGGGAAGCTCAGCTCAGCTGGGCTCCAGAGAGGACACAGCTGCCCACCTCTGGAAACCCTGGAGGTGAGGTCAGAAGGCTCCTTGGCACCAACTCCTGCCTATCCTTGCTGGGACCCTTGTGGCTAATGGCTGGATGAAAAATAACCCTGAATAGCTATGCACCTTCATTATGCTGCAGGTGGCTCATCTCTGTCTGCAGGCACACATGTTGTTTTCCCAAAGGTATAATTTGGCTGTAATTTTATTATCCTGCTTTGTTCCTCGCTATTATGGCTTAAATACTTTTTTCTTATTACTATATTATTTTCTTATTTATCATTCTAAAAGGTTGCTTAATATCCCATTAAGTTAATTTAACCATTGTCTTACCACTAAACATTTAGAGTATTTTCACCTTTTTTCCATTATTGTGGGGTAATGCGAACACAATCCTAATACATTTCTTTTGTGGTCTTTTTTGAACTGTTGTTGGCCGTCTTGGGAATGAGGAGTAATAGGTGTACAAAGTATTTCAAGGCTATTAAAATTTATTGCCAGTTGTTAGTCTTTACAAGATGGAAACAGTTTATCTTCTTGTCAGTAGTGAGGACACTCCGTTTGCCACACTGTCACCGGGACTGGTGTTGTCATTATTGCCTGTGTTTGCTGGTTTAATATGTATGAATGATCCCCTCTGGGAAGGCCTTCTCCTAGAGGGGAGGGAGCATCTCAAACTCATTGGAGGAGGATTCTTTGGGCTGGATAACCTCTTGGAGCCTGTGGCCTGTGAATCACATTTTATTTGCTGGTCATGGTGGGTTTAGAATGAAAGTGGCCCTTGTTAACGTGTATTTCATGGTGAAATGCTTCCGTAGATGTTTGTTCTCTGTGGAATACCTCCAGAGATGGAAAACTCATTTCCTTGTTGGTAGCAGATGACTCCAAAGGGAGTTTATTGGTTCACATAACTGAAAAGTCTGAGGAGAGTCTGCCTTCAGGAACAGCTGGCTCCAGGTGCTCTACAGATTCAGCAACATTGCCCTCCTCCTGTGGGGGTTCCTGCTTCTCTCATCCTGGCCTCATTCTCACCTAGGCTCTGTGAGGCGTGGAAAGATGGGCTACAAGACCCTTCTGCTCTACTGGGTTAGCAACTCCAGAGAAAGAGAAAGCTACTTTCCTGATAGCTTCGGCAAAACTCTACAAACAACAGAGCAGAAAACACCCAGGTCTGGCCTTATTGGCCTTCCTGCGGTCCCCTGCCCACCCCTGAACCAGCAGCTGTAACAAGGTTCAGCTCTCTGATTGGGTAGGTTTAGAGTGTGCACCTGAGCCAGGAGCAGTAAGCCTTTGATGAATCCTGAGAGCAGAGGGGCATTACTCCCCAACAGCTGGGGTTTGCATCCACGGTGCAAGTGGGTGCTGGCCAAGTGCCTGCTATCCCCAACCCCTGGGATTCACTTCCTGACAGGTGCCGTGGCTCTCAGGCCAGAAATTAGGGTTCCCCCAGGGGCAGCCTCTCCAGGACCTTTGCTCTTGTGCTCTTGCTGACTTCTTGGCGCAGGCAGCGTGCTCACATCTGGGTCTCTGCTTTCTCCTTTGTGGACTCAGTTTCCCCTGCTGCAGAAGGGGAGTTGGGAGTCGGAGTTTAGGACTTGTGGCCAAAGTTCTCTGTGCTTCCTAAGTTCTGAGATAGCAGCCACTTCCTGAGAGGAGGAAGAAGGATGCAGTGGTGATCAGCTAGCGGCCGGGAGAGAAGGGGAGGACAACTGTCAGGAAGCCCCCAGCTCCTGCACGGCTGCCTGGGCCCCTGGGTGGGTTCCCCACCTCTTCTAGACCCAGCCCTGGCTGGCACAGGGGGAGAATTGTTCCCACAGAGGTGTCTGGGCCAGAAAACACAAGTGGTCACTGTGTGTCTGTCCTCCGGGGTGTGGCCCGAGGCATTAGTCACTGCTGGTCAGCAGTGGGGCTGGGCAAAGATGCCCCCACCCATGCCTAGCTTCACACAGTAGGAAAGAGGATGTCGGTGCCCACAGACGGCCGATTGTTCTGGGTGTGACTCCTTGCCCATACATTCCCACATGAACCCCATCTGTGCAGACAACTCTTGCTTTCCAAGACTGCCCACGCCCCAAGATCACACCACAGCGTAGAGAGAGCTTAGACATCACTGGACATCACTGTCCCAGCCTTAGCCTCTACAGAGGGGAAACTGAGGCCCAGGCAGGATGTTTGCAGAATTTATAGGCACCTCTGGCAAAGCAGTGAGGATCAAAGGCTTTGAAACCACATCAGCTGAAATTTGGAGCCTAGTCGTATTTGCTGTGACCTTGGGCAAGGATGCCCTTGGGCAAATGACTTTACTTCTCTGAGCATTTGTCATCGTTTTTCTTTTTCATTTTTTTTTTAGACACGGTCTTGCTGTGTTGCCCAGGTTGGCTCCAAACTCCTGTGCTCAAGTGATTCTCCTGGCTCAGCCTCCCAAGTAGCTGGAACTATACAGTCAGGTGCCACTATACCTTGTCATCATTTTTTCTTTCAGATAAAATGGAGCTGGGCATGATAGCGCACACCTATAATCCCAACACTTTGGAGACTGAGACAGGAGGATTGTCACAATTTCGAGCCTGGGCTACATAGTTTGAGGCCAGCCAGGACTGCATAGTGAGACTGCTCTCAACCAAAAGGAAAAAAAAAAAAGAAAATAAAAAAAATCGGGTTGATGATATATAGAGAGAGTTATAAAAATTGAGGGAATTGGGCTGGGGATTTAGCTCAGTGGCACCACACCTGCCTTGCAAGTGCAAGATTCTGAGTTTGATCCACAGTGCCGCAAAAAAAGAGAAAAAAAAAAAATGAGAGAATTAAGCAGTGTTCTCTCTCAGATCTAAGTTTCATTTTCAGGTTCCCTTTAGGGGCATGGTGGCCCCAGGCTGCAGACTCACAGAAAAGGAAGGGTTGTAAGCAATTGCACCTGTTTTAGCAGTTGGTCTTAGGTTGCATGAAATTCATTGGTTGACTTGATCACATGCCTATTCTTGAGCCAATCACTGTGACCAGAGAGAATGCAGGGTTCTCATTGGCCAGGATGAATCACCCACACAGTTCTAGTTAGTGGCATAGAGTTAGTTAGCTCTGTTGCAGCTTAGGGACTGGAAAGGAGATCAGTCTGGCTATGCTAAAGAAAAATCAAGGAAGGAAGGGTGGATTATGTTATGAGGGGGTGGGGCACGATAATTTTCCACAGCAAATTCTCATTGGACAGTGGTGGTAAACCTATGGCATGTGTGCCATAGCAGGCTGTTTGTTATTGAAAGCTCTGAAAGGTTTGCCATCACAGTCCTAGGACTTGTTAGAAGTGCCTCACATTAATTTCAGTAAGTAATGCCTCACATTAATCAGTAAATAATGATTGAATGAATGAATGAATGAATGAATGAATAGGAAATAAGCTGTCAACACAGTATAGTAAAGAGAACTCTAGACGGGGAGTCAGGGCACCACCATAGCTTACAACCTTGGGTGACTCCCAGTACTTCAAGCCTGAGTCTGTCTGTCTGGGAAATGTGTACCACAAGCAGTGTCAGCCTTAGTGGCTCAAGGGTGGATTTAAGTGCTGGTAGTCTCAGTACTTGGCAGCTGCCATGCAGTCCCTGTGTGAGCGGTTGCTATTAGATGTGGTTGGCCTTTACCTTTAGCAAAGGGAGATGGAGTAGGGAACCCTGGGCATGGACCAAGAAAGGGCTTTGGGACATGATTTGGAGCTCAGGATCTTGGATCCAGGCAGGCTCATGTGTGGATCTTATCTTTATCCTCCTAATCGCTGTGTGGCTTGAAACAAATTGTATGACTCTCTGAAGCTCAGTTTCCTCACCTGTTAAGTGAGGACCATAGTATTTGTCTTCAAGGGCTGGTTGGCTGCGAGCACTCTGGCAGTGTTAGCTGTTTTAATCGTCCACATTATTACATCCCCGTTGCCTCACAGTGATGGACTGTTGCCTCAGCCGGACTTCTAAGGAATTTCACTTTGGCCAAGTTATGGTTTCTCCTGACAGCTGCTGCCCGTGGTAGGTTCTGATACCTATAAAATCCGAGCAGGGTGCCAGGCAGCCTTCTTCCCTGGTGTTGACTCTGGCACCCCGCAGGAGGCCCACCCTGTGGTCAATGCTGCCTTTCAGGGTGGCAGGCAAAGCAGTTTTGTGCCCTCCTGGAAAATAGTCCTCACCTCCTCCACTGTTAGGGGAAAACATCCCTTTCCAGGAAGCCTGGGGCAAAGTGGCAGGCAGCCTTCTTCACCAGCTCTCAGGAGTGAAAGGCGAATGACCAAAGGGCTGGTGGCCTCAGTCTGGTCAGCGTGGTCGAGGTGGCTTCCGTGGCCACCTTGCTGTAGCCCTGGCCAGCCCTCTTAGCCCCCAGCCTTCCTCTCTTCGGAGGAGCAGAGCTGCCTGACTTCTCTTCTGGGCTTGGAGGGGACGGGAGCGTGAGGGTGGGGAAGAGACGGAGAGGGAGGAGTGTTGTACAGAAGTGAAAGGATTCTTTGCTGTTTCCCTGGTAGAGCCATTTTAAAAAATCAGCTGTGGGCCGGGGATTTAGCTCAGCAGTTCCGACGCCTGCCTTGGAGGTGCAAGGTCCCGAGTTCAGTCCCCGGTACCAAAAAAAATATCTCCTGTACAAGAAATCTAAAGGCAGATAAAGAGTCAGGTGTGTGTGTGCTGGGATGAGGGTGGGGAATCCAGTTGCTTAATTGATAAGGTTTCTAAGGTGCTCTGAACAGACTTTCAAGTTCAATTTAGGAGCGAGGACCCCCCCCCCAGGTCAGGCGGATGTGCAGGCAAATTCCAGGACAAGGCTGGGCCTCTAGTACCATTCCGTGGTGGCCTGGGCTCCTGCCTGGGGTGCTGGGGTTTCAGAGCCTCTGGCCTGGGAGGGACTTGATGGAGGAAGAGTATGGATTTGGGGGCAGGCCTGGCAGCATTCCAGATCCACACTGCCGCTTTATCAGGGGCTCTGCCTCAGTCTTCTGCTCTGTACATGACGTAATAATATCTCTGGCACTGGAGGGTGGTGGAGATCACGAGTGAGTTAACACACAGGTGTGGGAGGTGTAGACCACTGCTGTGTGGAGGGGGCCTGATAAATGTGCAGCTGTGGTCATTACTGTATGGGCCCCCAGGGAGTTTGCAGTTCAGTGAACAAAAAATTACCTAGTCCGAGAATATATAAAAAGCAAATGAATATAAAAATGGCCTGTTTGCGTCACTCTCCTGCGTCACTTCCTTCCGGAAGGCTCCGGGATGGGGTTGGGAGCCCTCCAAGGTCCCACCTCCCAGCCTAAGCACACAGTCTCATCCCTCTCAGGGGAAGGGATTTCTCCAACTAGGCCAGGACCCACCCGCCAAAGGCCAGGGAGAGGGAGGCTCTGTCCCTGTCCGATGGGGACCCTGTCCAGTGGGAACGCTGCGCAGGAGCAGAAAGCATTCAGTCTTTGAAGTTAGATAAGCCAGACCCAAATACTGGTGCCACTCCCCTCGTTCTGGTCACGTCTGCTCTCTGATTTATCTGGGAGCAGGGAAACTGGGCTGCTGGCTGCTGGGTTCTGATCACGTGATGGTGAATGTGTCACCGTCCCTGGGGGCAAGATGTGTAGGAGTGACTCTGCCGCCAACATTCTAGGTGGAGTTGGCGTCCATAGTTGTTACTGGGACAAGAGTGGATCCATCAGTAGCATCCTCAGGAAGATGCTGAGGTGGGGACCAGCTCTGAGGTGCTCGAAGAGAGTCACGAAGCCCATTTTCCCTTTGCTTTGCGGCACATGGCTTCTCAGTCTCCAGATGAGCAGCTTGCTTTTAGGGACCCTGTTGTCCCAAAACGTGCCCTTTTCAGACCCTGGACTCTTGTGGCAGGGGAGGATGCTGACACAGCGTCCCCCTGGCTCATAGGCTACGGGGAGCTGTGTCATTGCCTCCTGTTTCCAGGAGCCCAGCTCATGCTGTGGAATGAGGTGGGCTGCTTGCACTACTTGGATCGTTATTTCTCTCTCACACTCTTTTTTGAATATTGATAAGATATATATATATAATATATATAATGTCATTCTCAGCGTATTAGCCTTTCAAGAGTGTAAGTTCTAAGGCACTAAGTTTTTCTGCAAGTTGGGTAGCCATCACCGGATCATCTATATTCCAAATTTTTTATCATCCCCAGCAAACACTCTGTTCCCACCAAACAGAAACTCCTCATTTTCCCCTTCCCCATCTATGAATTTATCTCATAGTAAATGGAATCCTACGGTGTTTGGTCTTTTGTGTCTGGTTTCTTTCTTTCTGTTTTTTTTTTTTTTGGTACCGGGGATTGAACTCAGGACCTTGCACTTGCGAGGCAGGCACGGTGCCACTGAGCTAAATCCTTGGCCCTGGCTTATTTCACTTAGCAAACGTTCTTAAGATTTATCCATGTTGTAGCATGTATCCGAATTTTATTCCTTTTAATGAAGGCAGCCTGAGCAATTTAGTGAGATCCTGTCTCAAAAAAAAAAACAACGTTGCCCAGGTGACATGCATCTAGGGGGAAATTCCACTGGAAATGGGCATTTACATAAAAGGCTTTTTCACTCTACTTTTTAAAACTTCTTGTCAGTGCTGAGAATCAAATCAAGGCCTCATGCGTGCTAGGGAAGCACTTGCCAGACAGCCACACCCCCAGCCCTTCTTTCTGCTGTGTGAAATTATGCAAATAAAGGATCACATTTCTCTTCACACTTTTCCAGCTGTGTGGAGAGGATGAAAGTACCCAGCAATCCCTCTCTATCTTCAGGCCCTTCCCTAGCTAACTGTCAGGCTAGTTTTCCTTGGATTTATAGACACATGTGAATGTGTATGAAGGTATAGTTTTCTTCTTTATTTAGTTTTCTTTTTGGGTTTTGCTGTTGTGTGTGTGTGTGTGTGTGTGTGTGTGTGTGTGGTGCTGGGGATAGAACTCAGGGTCTTGTGCATACTATGCAAGCACTCTACCACTGTGCCAAAGCCTTTGCTCTTTTTCTTGTAATTTTTTGAGACAAGACCCTGCTAAATTGCCCAGGCTGGCCTCAAACTTGCAATCTTCCTGACAGCCTCTCAAGTAGCTGGGATTACAAGCATGTGCCATCATGCTTTGTAGTTTTGTATTTTGTGCTACTTTTATTGTGTGGTGACTGGGATCTTTTTTTTTTTTTTGTACCAGGGATTGAACTCAGGTCCTTGCACTTGCGGGACAGGCAGCAGAACCACTGAGCTAAATCCCCAGCCCTGGGATCATTTCATTGAACAAATCAACGATCTTTCCATGTTGGTATTGATAGCACTAACCTATTTTTTTATTTTTATTTATTTCACAGAATGGATGTGATGTACTTGTGTTATTATTATTAAACACAAAACATTGTTTCTGGTGTGTGTTCTTCTGTGTGGCCCTGGCCCATCGTCTCAGTTGCTCTGGACATCCGACCTCTGTTTTCACACTCATGCAGGGCTCCCTGGGCTGCCTTGCAGGGATCAGCTTCCTGCCCAGCTGCCTTGCTGACCTTTGTGTCTCCCTTTGCAGGCCAAGAATAAGGAGACGGGTGCCTTAGCTGCTGCCAAAGTCATCGAGACCAAGAGTGAAGACGAGCTTGAAGACTACATCGTGGAGATTGAGATCCTGGCCACTTGTGACCACCCCTACATTGTGAAGCTCCTGGGAGCCTACTACCATGACGGGAAGCTGTGGGTAAGGACACTACCCTGCTCTCCCTCAGCCCCTGTGGGCTGGTACTCTAGAGCCGTCATGGTCTTCAGCTCTTCCTCAGGAGCTCTTTGGAGGCAAGGGCTGGGGCGAGAGGAAGGTGCAGTGGAGGGCTCTGAGGCCCCTGGCTTGCCCTTCCCGTGGAATCTCCCCCTACTGGGAAGAGGGGCAGTGGTTTGGAGTAAGAGGCAATTCCAGAACTCTAGTGTCCTTAAATTCCAGTGCTGCTGCTTAAAAATCTGGGTAATCCCAGACGCACTCTAAATCTGTCATTGCCTTGGTTTCTCCAACTGTATATAATAGGACTCATAATACAGAATGAGCCACCTTAATCCAAAAATCTGAAATAGAAATTGCTCTAAAATATGACCAGTCCTCAAAAAGTGTCAGGTGTCAGAGCATTTTGGATTTCTGATCCTCAGATTAGGGATATTCAATTAGTAAAATATATGTAAATAGTTTAAAATCTGAAATGGTCCAAATCTGAGATAGTCCAAAATCTGAAATACTCCCGGTCCCAAGCATTTTGCCGTCCGCTGACCTGCCTGTCTGCAGCGGGCTGATTCGGCGCGTTCCGCGCAACTCTCCCAAGCATTTTGGAAAAGGGTTACTCATCCTGTAGTATCCCCCTCATGGAGTGGTTGCAGGGATTAATGAGTCAATTCCTGACAAGTGCTTAGAATAGTGCTGGGCCCATGTAAGAGCTGGGTAGGTGCTGGCTATTCTGTTATTTGTGGAATTAACATCCATTCTGCAGCTGCTCCAGCACCAAAGAAGGGGCCCTTCCACAGCCCCCCCATTCTCTGCTCTTTGTAAACCAGTTTTCTATGTAAAAGGTCTCCGTGCTTGTGTGTGGTGCTGAGGCTAGGACCCAGAGCTTTGCATGTGCTAGGCAAATGCTTTATTACTGAGCTGGACCCCCAGTCAAAATACCATTGTTTTTGTCCCCCCAAATCAGTACCACATTGAAGCAAAATAGTGTGCAGGGAAAGTCTCAAGTAAATTCTAGATACAGTTGGATGAACATCAGAATCATGTGTAGATGTTTTGAGAAGGCTGCCGAAAGGCCGATAGGGGAGTGGGTATCTCAGCTGTTGGAGCTGAGTGGCTTGGGGTTGTGTTAGTACACATAGCAGCAGTGATCATAACTGTGGTGATTGGGAAGGGATTTTATGGAGGGGCTGGACTCAGGGCTTCATGCAGGCTGACACCCACTCTACCCCTGAGCTGTACTCCCAGGCCAGGAAGGGATTTTGTTTTTTGTTTGTTTTTTTTTTTTTGGTACCAGGGATTGAACTCAAGACCTTGCGCTTTTGAAGCAGGCAACAGAAAGGAAGGGATGTTTTAAGCATTATATAAGCTATTATGGTAGTTTATTATGCATAGAGTTTTACTGTGTTTTTCTTACATTTTAGGAAATTGGTAGAGAGATTAAAGATGACATTTTATCATTTTTCCCATTTAAAGTAATGAGAAATAGAGTCGTGGCTTTTTTGGAACAGAATTCTTCATGTTTAGGAACAGAGCTACTGTTGCTATGTGGGGAAATCTGTTTCATTTGAGGAAAAGATGCTGGTGCTTAAACCAATGGAGAGCTCACAAACCATTGTGTGTCCTTCTCACTTCACAACTGAAGTTGGCAAGGGGAAGCCAGTGGCCCAGGGGCTGGGGACTTGGCCCTGTTAGCGTGTGTTCTTCTGTACTCCTTTATTATAATGAAACTCCAGAGGCTGTGTACTTTATAAAGAAAAGAGCTCAGGGGCTGGGATTCAGCTCAGTGGTTCCGCCGCCACTTGCCTTGCAAGCACAAGGACCTGAGTTCGATCCCTGGTACAAAAAAAAAAAAAAAGAAGAAGAAAGAGCTCATAGTTTAGAGGTTCCAGGCCGTGGCACTAGCACTGGCTCAGGTCTGACGAGGACCTCATGGTAGAGGACTTCCTGGTGAAAGCTCGTGCCAGAGGGAGAAATCACACTGCAAGACAGAAGCCAGGAGACCAGGGAGCCAGGGAACTTTGTTAATGCCCTCCAGGGAGTGCCCCCGAGACCCATTACCTTGCACCAGTCCTCATCTCCTGAAGGTCCCATTCCTCCACTGTGACCCGCTGAGGACAGCTTCTAACACAGGAACCTTACACCACAGCAGGTTCCACCGGAGCTCTGTCCTCTAACACTACCTGCCCCAGAGCAAGGCCACCTCTTGAAGCATCTCCTTGGGGACCTACTTGGCAGCAGGGGAGTAAAACCACCACCATGACCATCAGCTTCAGCTCCAGAATCCCTTTGTCCACTGTCTCTGGGGACCTTGGGAGGAGAGCAGTGTAGTGAGAGCCACCAGGTGGTCACCCTTTCCTGGAGGAGGGGACAGAGGCACAGAGAGAGGAGGTCCCTTGCTCAGTCAGTCACACAGCTGAGGCTGGGCAAGCTACGACTATGCGTTTTCTCTGTCCTAATTTACAGTGCTGCTTTTGTTTTTGGTACCGGGGATCGAACTTGGGTCCTTATGTTTGCACAGCAGGCGGCGAAACCACTAAACTAAATCCCTGGCCCTGCTTTTTTTTTTTCTTTTGGTACCAGGGATCAAACTCAGGACCTTGCACTTTCGAGGCAGACAGTGTCACCACTGAGCTAAATCCTGGCCCTACAGTGCTACTTTTTAAAATGCTTTCTTCTTTAAAGAAATTATACAAGTAGTATATATGTCTAATCATCAGAGAAAAATTAGAATATACAGAAAAGCAAGAAAAAGAAATTAAAATCATCTAAGTATTTACACTGGAGATAACCACTGATAACAGAACATATTTTTCTAGACTATTTTTACCCACAAAAATTTTTAAGAAATAAAAATTATCATTCTGGTTACTTTATCTTTCACCTTGTCATTTGAGATATATTTAGAATTTTTTTTTTTTTTTTTTTTTTTTTGCGATGCTGGGTATGGAACCCAGGACCTGGCTCACACTAGGTGAGAGTTCTACCACTGGGCGAACCCTCAGCCCATTAGAACTTTTCATGTCCATAGAGAAACACTTGCATCTTTATTTTTTATTCTTCTGAAGAAATCCATCATCTTCCCATATATTCTGTATTGTTGAGCATTTCAGCTGCTTCTGATTTTTCTTTTGTTGTTGTAAACAACTCTATGATGAACATCTCTGAATTTGTTGGATTCTTGTCTGGGATCCTCTTTATAAGCATTTTTACCTTTTTGGGCAGGTTTGTACTGGGGATTGAACCCAGAATTTTTGCACTGAGCTCCATCCCCAGCCTTTTTAATTTTTTTTTTTTTTTTGGTACTGGGGATTGAACTCAGGACCTTGTGCTTGCCAGGCAGGTGCAGCACCACTGAGCTCCATCCCAGCCCTTTAATTTTTAAATTTTAAATTTTTTTTTTTTTTTTGAGACAGAGTCTTGTTATATAGTCCAGGCTGGCCTTGAACTCACTTTGTAGCCCAGGTTGTCCTCCAGCTCACAGTGATCCTTCTGCCTCAGCCTCCCCAGTGCTGGGATTATACAAATATGCTACCATGCCTGACCTTTATTTATTTATTTATTTATTTATTTATTTATTTTTCAGAATACAAATAAAAGTTTATTATACAAAATTAAGGCCTTCATATTACACACTTCACTAAGGCTAAAGAAAGACTACATGGTTTAAATCTTTCACAAAAATTTCACTTTTACTTCTCCCCACCTCCAACCATTAAAATGGTCTGACCAAATGTTATCAAAACAAACACCATAAATAACACCAAGTCCCTTAAACATGACTATCTCAAATGTTGTTTCTTGGCATAGGTGATCTTCATTGCATGGGATGGTGTGATTTTAAACCCTTGTTTTTTGGTTTTTTTAGTGCTGGGGATCGAACTCAGATCCTTCTGCCTGCACAGCAGGCGGCAAAAGCCCTGAGCCAAATCCCCGGCCCCAGATCTTAAACCCTTGTAATGCAACCCTGGCAGCTCCAGCCTGCCCATCATTTTCAAATTCCACAAAAGCAATGTCATGCCTTCCAGGTACCAGACGTACTTCCTTAAAACCAGGAAACTGATTAAACAGCATGGATAGCATCATCTCGTTAGTCTCTTCTGGTAAATTATTAAGGAATAAAATATAGTTTGGAGGGTAATCAGGGACCTGAGGATTTGGTGTTGCATTTCCTTGGATATTAGTTGTTGATGTTCCCTGGCCAGGCTTTTTGTTTGCAGGTGTTGCAGTTTGTTCCACAGTTTTGGCTTTTTTCTTTTCTTTTTTTTCTTTTCCTTGTCAACAAAAGTGCCACACATTTTAGATATTATATCAGAATCTGTTTTTGCATACTGGATTCGTGTTGGTGTGCCATAAAATGAGAATCCTTGTAACTGTCTTAAAGCATTTGTTTATGAACCCAGTTCTTTAAATATAACAAAGACCTGGCCTCGAATCTTCATAGTCTTTAAAGCCACAATATCTACCACATGCCCAAATTGAGAAAACAGTGCATATAGGGATCGCTTCAATTCTTCTTTTTTAATTTTGTCATTCATATTGTTGATATAAATTGTATGATTTGGTCTAATATCCATGTTTGGGTAACAGAAACTGTATGCAGCCCATGAAGCCTAAGATTATTTCTTCAAATAACCTTTGCGCCTATTCTGTTCCAAACTCCAACAGCTGAGGGTCGGGCCGAGCAGCCCCGGGAACCCTAACCGCCAGGTACAGAGCGATCCCCTGGCCTTTATTTTTTGAGACATGGTCTAAAATGGTTATCTCCAGTGTAAATACTAGGATAGTTTTAATCTTCTTTTCATTTTATTTTATTGTATTGTATTATTATTTTTTTTTACCGCTGATCAAACTCGGGACCTTGCGCTTGTGAGGGAAGGTGGCAGAACCACTGAGCTAAATCCCTGGCCCCCAGTTTTTTCTTCTGCTTTTCTGTATATTCTCATTTTTCTCTGATGATAATATACGTAATGTTTGTATAATCTTTTTAAAGA